CTGGTCCCCATTGGACCCCAGGGACGCTACCCACACTGCTAGATATACACAGAGCTGCAGGATAACCCTCCCCTCATACAAATAATACTAACAGCCCACACACAACCATACACACACACAATCCCCACAAACACAACAATCCACATACATGCACACAACCCCACATGCAGCCTCTCACATTCAATACCCAAACAGCCCCCACACAGTACCAAACACACCATGTGACATATCCATCCATACACAATCCCACAAGCAGCCCTCATACACAGCCCAAATTCATAGGGACACAATACCACAAACTACTAATGAACATATACAATATAATAGCTCATATACACACAAATACAACGATACAAAGCAATTACAGTAAAAATAACACAAGCCGAATACAGCAGCATACACACCTCAATTTAAAAAAAATAGGACCGGCATGCTACGGGACATCACAATCCTATATCGGCACAGCGCTGTTAAAAGGTTGCCTACCCCTGACCTTGCAGAAACCCCATCACCACCAGGGAAAGGATCCACTCTATCTCTCCCAGAGAAAGGTAGGCCTGGGTGGACGTTTAAACATTTGTTTTAAAAGTGTGTGTGTGTGTGTGTGTATGAATGTGTATATGTGTATGTCTGTCTATAACTGTAAGTGTGTGTGTGTGTGTGTGTATATGTCTGTAATTTGTGCATGTCTGTGTGTGTGTATTTAGGTCAGTGATTGTATGTGTGTAATAAAAGGGAATATCCAGCGCACTCCCTTATCCACTAAACAGCAACTTTGGTGCTGACAGATTTAGTTAGTTTAAAAAAACAAAAAAAACTAATCTAGGCAAAAAAATGGGGGGTTAGTTACATTATATGATCATACATTGCATAAGCCTGCCACAACGTCAATTTACCCCATCTTCTTTGGCAGGTCCTACTCTAACAGCCAAATGTCTGCTAAATGAGCTACTTACTTGGGGAAAAAATTGCATCTCGAGTTCTCTGCAGTACAAGTGTATGTGTGTGTGTCTGTGATTGTGTGTGTGTGTGATTGTGTATGTCTGTGGTTATGTGTTTGTGTGTGTGTGTATACCTGTGATTATATGCATATATGTTAGTGACAATCTGTGTGTATGTATATGATTGTGCATGCATGTTTGTGATTTTTGTATGTGCATGAAAATGTGTCTGTGTTTAGTATATAGCTCCCTAATTTGGTATCCTTAAAGGAACACCATAGGCACCCAGACCACTTAATCTTAATGAAAGAGTTGGGGTACCAAGAAAACATTGCTGTTCTGCAGCAATGCTACTGTGGATGTACTTTGGAATAGCAGTACACCAAAAGAACCAGTGCCACATGACAGAGTAACTATTCATAAATGGGAAAGCACCAGGGAACTCTTGGCACCGTAATTGCTACAGTTAGCTGTAATGGTTATGGTGCTTAATGTAATCTTTTAAAGGACACCTGATAAGAAGAAACAATTCAAAAATTTGAATCTAGTTATGCAAGACATTAGATTCTGGACATCCTGTTCCCAGACAATACAACAGTTTTTTTTTCAGACAGTTTAAATTTTTTTAGCAGAGGTTGGGAATTTGAACTTTACAATTTGTTCTCAGGATAACCACTGAGTCAGCAGTAAAACCAGCAATGCAACTTTTAAAAAAAGCAAGTGCTAACAGAAATAGCTCTATTTTATGTACATTCCAACCCAAGTCTGTGTAGTAGCCCAGAGCCCAGTACAGAGAGGTGATGAGGAGAATAAAGACCCTGTAAAATTATCTCAAGCCAAAACTTGGAAATCCAATGAAGCTTAGGCTGCAGCACACCCTGAAATACAAAAAAATCTTTTCAAACTATGTGCCTGTTCTTTTGTCAGTTAGAACACACAACGAGATACAAGTACTGACAAAAGACAACTGTCTGTCACCATTTGGGCCATTGCTCCTATCTTGTACAAACAAGCAGGGCTGTATTTATCGCAAGGCTAACAAGGCATTTGCCTTGGGCAGCACTTTCCAGGTGGCCGAAAAAGTTGCCGCCCCCAAATGCCCAGGCTAATGCCTTGTTAGCCTCATTTTATGGGAGCCCAAGAGCTGGTCGTCTGGCCACCTTGGGGCCCCCAGGGAGCAGGCAGCCATTTGTGTTCCATGCAGGCAGCGAGGAAGCACTTTCCTATGCTCTCCCTTCTCAGCTCCCTTGCGTGAACCCAGTGAGCTGGAATATGACGTCACTCCGGCTCCCAGCATCACTTTGCGGCGTGTGAGGGAGCTGAGAATGGAGATCTGTCACGCGGGCGTGTATCGCTACAGCGGTATTCCCAGAAACTAAGGGGAATACTGCCAAACACTCACCAGAGGTGACCTCTCCTCTCTCTTGAGTCTCTGTATCATTAAGGGCGCTGCCCGCTGCTGCTGTGAATAATAAAGGGTTTCCTGTTTAACCCTTAAAGGGCCAGATCAATTAATTCTGTTTCCCTACAGCCTATCAGGAAACGCCTTTAGCTATTTAAACCTAGTTTGTCCATTTCTCTGTGTCTTGTCATAGTTTCCAGTTGGTTATCTGAGAGCGCGGTCCTTGTATTGATTTCGTGTGTATCTAACCTTGGCTTCCCTTATTGACTATCCGATCTCTGTATTCTTTGACTTTTGGCTTGGCTCCTGACTATTCTGATATCTCCATTCCTTGACCTTTGACTTGTTTATCATTTGCATTATATCTTTGTCTTGGCTTTTCCCTTTCTTTTGCCTTTTTACATTAAATACGGCCATTCTAAGGTCCGGTAATACGCCTTAGGTATTTGCTTTATATCTACTTACGTTCTGCGTGTTGGGCATCTACGTAAAATCCTGACAAGATCACAGCTCCCTTGCTGACAGCTTAGCGCGGCCACCTGCCTTCACATCCACCCGCTAGGGATGTGCATGGCCCAAAAATTTGGTTCGGTCGGCTCGGAAATTTGGGTAAGTAAAAAAATTAGTCTGCTTCAGCAATTCGAACAATGGTATTCAGTTTGGGTCTTTGGCAATTCGGAACTTCGGACATTCCCTAACCCTGACCCTAAATCCGAAGCACTTCGGCACTTCAGAAATTTGGTTCGGCACTTCTGAAGTACCGAACTTTGGCACTTCGGAAATTCGGCACTTCGAACATTCGAGAGCATCCGAATTTCCGAATTGCACGAAACTCGTCCGAATATACATTCGGAACCAAAATTAATTGCACTAGTCACCCCTAAAAAAATCCACCCAGCTCTCCAAAAAGTAGGGAAGCTGGGTGGATTTAAATTTTAAAAAGTAATAATAATTGTGAGTGTTGGGGGGAAAATGTGTGTGTTTGTTAGTAAATGTGTGTGTCAGTGAATGTGACCACCTAAAGGCAGTCCAATACCTAAATGCCAGGCATGTCCCCTTTACACAAAAGGTACAGAAAAAGTATTATTTGCACATTCAGAATATGGATGAGAAAACAAAACTGTATACAATATATGTAGCGCAAAGATACTGTAACTGCAAATGTACCTTATTAATCCTATAATGTCTTAAAGGGATCCTCCACTGCTAAAATTTCAAAATAAATAAAAATTACTGTTTAGTACATGTATCCCATCATGGAAACTTGCATATATTTAATTATGTATTTGGTTCATTCGGGGTATATCCAAAAACAGCTTGCAAACCCTGCATTTCTCTTGTCTGCTGCCTTTGCAAGCCCTCCTCTTCTAACCCAGCCCAGACTTTCTGTGGCTGTCCAATCACAGACTTCCCAATGCAGCTCAATGAGAACTCTTTGCATGGCAAGTGCTCTGAGCAATTGCTTGCTCTTGGGTTTAGCTCCACTAAGATAACCAAGCCAGAATGTAATAGAACCTGGTGTCTGCTTGAAAGGCAGGGGGATGTAACTAGGTTCAGGGGCGGACTGACCACTCAGGCTTATCGGTCATGGACCGAGGGCCCGAGGCAGTAAGGGGCCCGCCAGCACAGCCATGCTCCAGCTGGAGAGATCAGAGATCTCTCCAACTGGAACGGCAAAAAATAATAAAATAAAACTATTTAATTGATAGGTTGCTGGGGCCCCTGATGCAGCGCGGGGCCCCAGAACCTACCGCTCTGTAAATCACCCCCCTCTCTCCCTCCCCCCCCCCTTAATATGATACCTGGCAGCTTCACCAGCTCTCTGCCAGGTCTCCTGCTTCCTGTCCCTCTGTGTGATGGGGAGAGGCGGGGACAGTTTACTCCTCTCACACAGAGCTGATCAGCCAGCAGGGGAAGGAGCAGCAGCCTGGGAGAGAAGAGGAAGCAGAGAGACAGGTAGGCTCTAGGTACCCCTCCCCCCCCCACTGTCACTAGTCACCCCCTCCCCTGTGTCACTAGTCACCCCTCACTGTCACTAGTCACCCCCTCACTGTCACTAGTCACCCCTCCCTCTGTCACTAGTCACTAGTTCCCTCCCTCACTCTGTCACTAGTCACCACCCTCCCTGTCTGTCACTCAGTCACTAGTCACCCTCACTCTGTCACTAGTCACCCTCACTCTGTCACTAGTCACCCCCTCCCTCTCTCACTAGTCACCCCTTCACTAGTCACTCTCTCCTACTCACCCCTGTCACTGGTCACTCCACTCTGTCACTAGTCACCCCCTCCCTCTGTCACTAGTCACCCCTTCCCTCCCTCACTTTGTCACTAGTCACCCCTTCCCTCTGTCACTGGTCATCCACTCCCTCCCTCTGTCACTGGTCATCCCCTCCCTCACTCTGTCACTAGTCACCCCTTCCCTCCCTCACTCTGTCACTAGTCACCCCCTCCCTCTGTCACTGGTCATCCACTCCCTCCCTCTGTCACTGGTCATCCCCTCCCTCACTCTGTCACTAGTCACCCACTCACTCTAGTGACAGAGGGAGGGAGGGTTGACTGGTTACAGAGTGAGGGAGGGGGTGACTGGTTACAGAGTGAGGGAGGGGATGACTAGTGACAGAGGGAGGGATGGGGTGTTACAGTGACAGAGGGAGGGATGGGGCGACAGTGACAGAGGGAGGGGGTGACTAGTGACAGAGTGCGGGGATGACTAGTGACAGAGTTAGGGAGGGAGTGACTAGTGACAGTCACCATCTCCCTCCCTCTGTCACTAGTCACCCCCTCCCTCATTCTGTCGCTAGTCACTAGTCACCCCCCCGTCACTAGTCACCCTCTCCCTCACTCTGTCACTAGTCACCCTCTCCCTCTGTCACTAGTCACACCCTCCCTCACTCTGTAACCAGTCACCCCCTCCCTCACTCTGTCATTGTGTCACTACCTTCATTCCTGAGGGAATGACTGGTGACAGAGTGAGGGAAGGGGTGACTGGTGGCAGAGTGAGAGAGGGGGTTGACTAGTGACAGAGTGAGTTAGGGGGTGACTAGTGACAGAGTAAGGGACGGAGGGGGTGACTAGTGACAGAGGGAGGGAGTAGTGACAGAGGGAGGTGGTGACTAGTGACAGTCACCACCTCCCTCACTCTGTCACTAGTCACCCCTTCCCTCACTCTGTCACCTGTCACCCCCTCACTCTGTCACTAATCACCCCTTCCCTCACTCTGTCACTAGTCATCCCCTCACTCTAGTGACAGAGTGAGGGAGGGAAGTGGTGACTAGTGACAGAGTAAGGGAGGGAAGTGGTGACTAGTGACAGAGTTAGGGAGGGAAGGGGTGACTAGCGACAAAGGGAGGGGTGACTAGGGACAGAGTGAGGGAGTCACCACCTCCCTCACTCTGTCACCAGTCAACACCTCACTCTGTCACCAGTCATCCCCTTACAATGTCACTAGTCACCCCTTCCTTCCCTCACTCTGCCACTAGTCACCCCTTCACTCACTCTGTCACCTGTCACCCCCTCACTCCATCTAGTGACAGAGTGAGGGAGGGTGTGACTAGTGACAGAGGGAGGAGTGACTAGGGACAGAGTGAGGGAGGTGGTGACTAGTGACAGTCACCACCTCCCTCACTCTGTCACCAGTCATCCCCTCACTCTGCCACTAGTTACCCCACCCCTCACTCTGTCACCTGTCACCCCCTCACTCTAGTGACAGAGTGAGGGACGGTGTGACTAGTGACAGAGTGAGGGAGGGGGTGACTAGTGACGGAGTGAGGGAGGTTGTGATTAGTGACAGAGTGAGGGATGGGGTGACTAGTGACAGTCACCACCTCCTTCACTCTGTCACTAGTCACCATCTCCCTCCATCTGTCACTAGTCACGCCCTCCCTCATTCTGTCACTAGTCACCCTCTCCCTCACTGTCACTAGTCATCCACTCCCTCCCTTAGCAAGTTCTACAGGACTTTTTTCAAATTATTATTTTATTTTTATTTTTTTTATGGCCACCTTCCTGCATTTGTCGTGGGTTCGTTCCAAATGAAGTTCAGCCTCTCTTCATTTGAAGGACCCAGTAAACAACCTGCATGAGCAGGACTAACTGGGTCAGGTTTAGCGTATGTACTGGACTGCTGCGTGGGATTTAGATTGGTGTTCTGAGGGAAACACGGCTACAGGTAATGAACAAAGATGGGGTTGCTCATCCTTAAAAATTCCCCTTGTTGTTTGGCTTGCCTCTAGTAATTGGGGTCTAAAATTCCCCCCCTTACCTTGGTGGCAGATCTTTGGGATCCATTCTTGAGTGGGGTCCTCCTGTGGGGGGACCCGGTGCAGGGTCTGTCTTCCTTTTGTTCATTGGTGGTTTCCTGGGGACATGCAGTATTATTGCTGCAACTGTTTTGCTCGCTAATTTCCCCTATGGTTCCCTGGTTGCCCCTGGGTTGTTGGCTGGAACGCATTACCAGGCCAGCGAAACCGGAAGTGATGTGTATATCGGCTGAGAGCGTTTGGAACGCATTGCGTGCGTTCCAGCGGACTGAGCATGTGCGGATCGGCAGTTTCCCTGGCGCGATTTAAACTGGGGGATCCTGGTTCTCTGTCTGCTCGCTGAGTCAGCTGTTGGTTGGAAGAAATTGATCCTGTGTGCTCAGATTCTGCTCCTTTGTTCTGTGCTTGGCTGCCTGGAGTGGTTTGGCCGTTATCAGGTTCCATGTTTCTTCTTGTGTTTCTTGTTTCTCGACATGTGCTGGTCAGTTTGCTGCTGTCTTTTTTTTTTTTTTTACTGGGACATGTGTTTTACTTTCCTTCAATTCTCCTTTTAGTATAGATTCCCCCTCTGCCTCTGCAAGATCCCTCTCTAGAAAACATAGGTGAGCCATTAATTTTTTTCATGGGGGGGTTGTTAAAAAGAGTGCCAAACTAAGCCTGTAATATATGTCATATATGGCTTCATTTCAGCCCAAGCAGGCATCTGGATTCTCCAGCAAAGAATTCAAGGGAAAAGACCAATAATTGCATTAATTGTTCGTCACCTGCTCCGCATGGAAGGAACCTTTGCAGAGAATGCTTATTGGAAGCGGCAGATGTCTCCAGCAGGGGTTCCCCACAGGACGACCTTAAGCTCTGGATTTCCCAAGCTATTGCTGAGGGCTTTAAGTCTACCACAGTGTCTAGTGGTCCGAGTAAGAGACACAGAGCGAAACCTCAGTCTTCCAGCTCTGGAGAAAACCCTCCAGAGCTGGAGAAGACCCTGATATGTGGGAGGTCTCAGATGATGGTGAGGAGGAAGTTGAATATACCTCTAGGTCTCTCGACTCAAAGTTTATTGATAGACTTATTACCCTTCTCAGAGACACTCTTAGTCTCCGCAAAGAAAAGTCTGAATTGAGAGAGGCTGACAGGTTCTTTGAGGACCTAAAACCGAATAGGCCTACCTTCCCGGTGCATTCCTCGATCAGGAACATGATCCTTCAAGAATGGAATAAACCAGAAAGGAAATCCACCTTGAAAAATAAATTCACAAGGATTTATCCTTTCTCTGCCATGGACTGCTTCCTATTGACTCCATGGCATATCTCAGAGAGCCTATGGAAAAGTGTATGGATGGAGATTTGATTAAAGCCTACTTGGCCCTGGACTCCGCCCTTTATCTGGCAGTGGCACTGACCACTCTCTCAAGGACATTGATCGGGGTGTCTGTAGGGAACATCTCTAGGAGAGCCTCAAGGCCTTGCCATGGAATTCTGCTCTGAAGCCTTGCCTAGACATCACTCGCATGATTGCCAAGAGTATGGCCCTGTCTGTGGCTTCTAGAAGGGCCTTGTGGCTTCATTCGTGGGGAGCGCACTATGCCTAAAACCGAATAGTCCTTGTGTGGCCTTCCGTTCCAGGGAAATCTCCTATTTGGCAAAATTCTGGAGGATGCTATTCAAAAAGCTGATGATGGGGGGGAAAAAGCATTTTTGCCTCAAGTAAGAAGAAAGAGCTTTCCCTCCTCCTGGAAGAATAAGCGCTTCAAGGATTGGTCCTTTTGGGACAGCAGAAGCTATAAACCAGGAAGGGAGTATTCCAGAAATTCTTTGTGGAAATCCTCCTCACACTCTTTTTCCAATAAGGCTTCCAGAGGAAGAGGAGCTAGAACCTCTGGGGAGAACTTCTGAAGGTCTTCAGACCCGTTCGGGGACTGTGGGAGGAAGACTGAAGTTCTTCTACCTCGTGTGGGCCAAAAATATTACGGACATGTGGGTCACATCCATCATAAAGGAGGTGTGACAGATCCATCTGTGTAAAGACTGATTGCTGGTTCGTCTGTTTTGCCTTTTCGTGGAATTACCCATTCGTATGCCCCTGTTCAGTGAATTGACTTTTTCCGCCAAACAAAACTACCGAACAGACGGCCACCCAGAAGAGAAGTGTGCTGCTGGTTAACCTCTTGATCCCAATTAGAACGTTGTGGTTAACCGCAGACACTTCTCAATTAAGAACCGAATACCGGGTGGTCGTCGTTCGTATATCGACCACGAGGCGGCGGCCATTTTAAACCATGCGAAAGACCAGTGATGTTCGGCATGGATTTCATGAAACTGAAAACTGACACTTTTTCTACCGAACACCGCTGAAGCCGTCGACCTCCCTTCTCAATCGACAGAAGGATGCGAACACCGGCCGTTTGGGAGGTTTAAACACACGAATGGACTTACCCCAGATAGCCTTCCCATGGAGTCAATTGCATACCGAAGGACTGTAATAGACTTTGACTCCATGGCGATTGAACTATGCGTATGGGATCTGAGCGCTATTCGCCAATAATATGCACTCAGATCCAGGCTATCTGGGGATATGTGATACGAATGGGTAGCATTCAACAGATGCAAAGTTATATATTTTTATGTGTTTTTCTGTGTTGAATTTAATATGGCGATTGGTCCTTGTCCTGGAGATAATTGAATTACTTCTCAATTATCTCCAGGGCAGAGGGGAGGAAATACTAATGCATGCTGGGAATATGCTGTGTCTGTGGGTCCTAACTTGCCATATGTCTGTCTGTTGTTACAGTCTCCCATTTGGTCCCCTAGGGGAGTGTCCACCAAGTGGGAGACCTGCATAAATACGGGCAGGTAGCCCACAGTAAAGCCAGGTGATGTTTTACCCTCAATGCAGAGCTTTGTCTCATTATTGGGGGGATTTATTATTGCCGACTAGAGACTGCTGGATGGAATTAGTAGCCGCTTGGGAGATATATGCGTTCGGCTACTATTGACTATTCACTAAACGGCGGGTTGCACATCTGATGCTGAGGGTACCGTAACAGGAGGGTTACAGGATAGAATTTTCCTCTCGCCCAAAATCTGCTTTCTTAAAAAAATCCATGGTGTCGGCAGGCATCAAACGAAGGGCCATGAGGACCTACATGTCTACTCTTTGGAAAAAGTTCCAAGACAGGAAAGGTTCCTTGGGGTTTACTCCACTGTGTTCTTGGCCCCAAAACCCCAGGGAAAGTGGCGTCTCATCTTGAACTTGAAGCGTGTGAACTCCATGCTCGATGTAAGAACATTAAAAAATTGAATTTTTACAGACCATCTTGAAGAGCGTCAAAAGAGGAGACTGGATGACCTACATAGACTTGAGGGACAACTACTACCAAATCCCTATAAAATGAGATCATATGCAGTTTCTCAGGTTCTGGGCGCTAGTAAGGCACTTTCAGTTCCGGTGACCACCGTTTGGCCTCAGCTTGGCGCCAAGAACGTTCTTGAAAGTTCTTGTTACTTTGATAGCCTTCATAAGGGAGAAAGGTATCGAGATCTTCCATTACTTGGAGGACATCCTGATCATAGGTCCATCTCAAAGGATAGTAGCTCATCACACGGTAACGAACATTCTTCAAGACCACAGTTGGCTTCTGAACATGGAAAAAAGCTCCCTGATTCCTTTACAGACTATCGTATTCCTCGGAGCAGTGATAAACACCATAGCTGCCCATGTGTTCCTGTGTCCGGAAAGGGTCACAAAAATCAGAGACAAAGTAGGGAAGCTACAAGGTCTCGAGACTGCCTCTGCAAGAGAAGTCATGAGTCTCCTGGGTTCGTTGACATCAACTATAGGGTTGGTAAAATGGGCCCAGTGGAGGTTTTGTCCGATCCAGAATTGCTTCCTTCTCCAGTTCGACAGAGTGGGAACAGATTAAGAGCAAAGAATCTCTCTGCCCCTGCTCGTGAGGAAAGGGTTGAACTGGTGGAAGGACAAGAAGAATTTGTCAGCAGGCTTCCTGTTGGAGGAACCTCCTTGGATGGTTATTACAACAGATGCCAGTTCTTTTGGATGGGGTGCCCATTTCAATTCCACATGTACTCAAGGGAAGTGGACCCGAGAAGACAGTCAGCTACACTCAAATCTAAGAGAACTGAGAGCTGTTTCCAAGGCCATCTTGGTATTTCTACTAAGGATCTTAAACTCTTTGGTACTGATCAAATGGACAACCGTGCGGTTGCTTCATACGTGAACAACCAAGGGGGCACAAGAAGCAGATTACTCTTGAAGGAACTAGCTCCCTTGATGACGATCGCCATAACCAATCTCCAGGTTCGGAGAACGTGACTGCAGACTTCTTCAGCAGAAAGAAAATTCTTCCAGGAGAATGGAAACTTCACCCCTTCACCCGGCAGTCTTTGCATGGATTGCCCATCGGTGGGGCATGCCCCAGATCGACCTGATGGCGTCCTTCTAGAATCATCAGGTGGAGAATTACTTCTCCCTCCACCCGGACAGTCAGGCACTGGGCCAGGATGCTCTCTCTCTTCCTTGGTCATTCGATCTGAGGTATGCATTCCCTCCCCTACCCATGATATCCAGGTTCCTGCAGAAGGTGTGGTCGGAAGGAAAGAAGGTTATTGCCATAATTCCGGTTTGGCCTTGGAGGCTGTGGTTTCCCCTACTATCTATGATGAGCCAGGAACAACCCTGGCCTCTTCCCTTTATGGAGGATCTTCTAACGCAGGGCCCAATATTCCATCCTCATCTGGAATGCCTCAAATTGGGGGTATGGGTCTTGAAAAAGAAAGACTTCAATAATTAGGGCTCTTAGATGCTGTGGTTAATACCCTTTTGCATTCAAAGAAAGCTTCTACTTCCTCATGCTACCTTAGGATCTGGGATGTGTTCCGGGAATGGGCTTTGGCCAAAAATATTGACTTCCTGCATCCTCATAATACTGAGATCTTGGAGTTCCTGCAAAAAGGTCTGGATAAGGGCCTTAGCCTCAGCACTCTTAAAGTTCAGTCTTTGGCTCTTTCAGCTTTGTGCAAAATCTCATGAACTTCGGATCCTTTGATCTCCAGGTTCTTCAAGGCAGCTTTCAGGTTGAGACCTCCTTCCAGATCTACTACCCCTCTTTGGGACCTTCAGCTGGTTCTCAATTATCTAACTGAGTATCTGTTCCTCTTGAGAGTTTGGATGCTACCTGCTGACGTACAAAACTTTGTTTTTGGTGGCAATTACTTCTGGAAGAAGAATTTCGGATATTAAAGCATTTTCTACCTTTTCTTGTTTACTATTCTATCATGATAGGGTGTGCCTGAAACCAAAACCTAAGTTTCTTCCTAAGGTGGTCTCTCAGTTTCATCTCTCTCAAGAAGTGGTCCTTCTATCATTCTACCCCAATCCTTCTTCGCAAGAGGAGGTTAGGTGGCAATGTTTGGATGTCATGAACTGCCTGTCTATGTACCTTAAGCGTTCTGAGTCTTACAGAAACACTGACCAACTCTTCGTTTTACCTTCAGGAGCCAGGAGAGGTGAGGCGGCCTCTTTATCTACATTGAAACGTTGGATTTCGCTAGTGATCAGGAAAGCATATATCTCTAAAGATCAATCTCCTCCAATGAAGATAAGAACTCATTCTACCAGAGCATTGTCGACTTCATAGGCTAATTGGCCAGAGGTTTCATACGATTATATTTGCAGGGCAGCCACCTGGTCTTTCCAAATGACGTTCATGAAACACTACAAACTGGATGTGGACTCTCCTTCCACCTCCTTTGGGAAGAGTGTCCTGTCTACGGTTTCTTTATCCCGTTGATATTAAATTTCTTTGCAGCATAAGAGTCAGTTTGGTGTACTTTCGGTTTGGTTTTCCCTCCCTTTAATTCTGTGAGCTTGGGTATTACCCATAAGTGATTCTGCCATGATTAGCCAGGAATGGAGAACATTTATGACAAACTTCCCGTAATTTTCTTTTCCTGGCTATTTCTCATGGCAGCATCAGGGTTCCCGCCCATTCTTTTATTTTTCAGCTTTACAATTGGACTGAGGTGTAAGGGGAGGAGGGACTCGTTATACCTATCAGTCTAATCTAATTCTTGTCATGTGACTGCTAAGGAAGGAGCTACCCATAAGTGATGCTGCCATGAGAAATAGCCAGGAAAAGAAAATTACGGTAAGTTTGTCATAAATTTTCTCTATTTTCGATCGTTGTCCATTTGAAGTGTAGGGAGGTATAATTTATGCTAAAGAAAAAAAGATAAAGCAGCAGTAGTCAATTAATCCAATAACACTGGCAAAATACATTCACCTAACACCCATTAGTCTGCCAGGGGTATCTTTTTGTCTGAAAATTAATTTTCATAAATCCGTTTCATCATAATGCAAAGAGATAATTATTTTCATGTGACCATGTCAGTTTGCCTAGAATTATTACTTGATAATAATGTCAGTTTTTGAGACTGGAGGTTGCCATTTTTAATTGATTCACAACAAGGCAGAAGAGACCATGTGATGTGAAAAAACAGTCTCATTCTGTGATTTGCATAGTATCTTAAAGTTTCTCAATGTGCAGGAATTTATTTTATTACAACCTGAAAATGCTGCACATGGATGTTGATTTTCTTTTTTTGTTTGTAATATGAGACCCTAAAGGACCACTATAGTCACCCAGACCACTTCAGCTCAATGAAGTGGTCTGGGTTCCAGGTCCCCCAGGTTTTAACCCTGCAGCTGTAAATATAGCAGTTTTAGAGAAACTGTTATATTTACATTGCAGGGTTAATCCAGCATCTAGTGGTGCTCCCGCAGTGCAGAACGTCCATAGTAAAGCATTTGCACGCTACTCTGGCCACGCATGCGGCTCCATTCAGCTGATGATGTCGGAGGGGGAGGAGAGGGAACCTGGTGATGGATTAAGATAGGTGGGAGGGGGGCCTTGAGGGTGGGAGGACCTAAGGACTTTATAGTGCCAAAAAACAAGTTTGTTTTCCTGGCACTATAGTTGTCCTTTGTCACGACTATCATCATGCCTTCCACATTTATTGTGTATGTGGTCCTGGTTGGGTTTGAACCTGGGTCTCCTGCATCCCAGCCATATACCTTATCTTGGGCTCCACGCATCTTTGGCTACTTCTGCTGGTTCCTGATATCTAGTAGCCTGAACCTGTATGCCTGGACTTTACTCACCTGTTCCTGATGTCTGCTGATTCCAGCCTATCTAAACCTCGCCTTGGCTATTGATCCTTGTCAGATTGCTTGTTCCTGTTTTGCTATTCATCTGACTCTGGTTTTGATCTTCTGCTCATCCTTTGTTCTTGCCTGTCTGTTGCCTGTCCTGACCCTTGGTTCCGTCACTGACTACGTTTTATTGGATATCCCTTGTCTGTACCTCGTTCTTGGAAGCACTGGTGATTATCAGCCCCAGTGCACTGGTTCACAGTCTTGGGGATTTCTACCTTGAGTTCCCTTGGTCTGTGTATAATTGCAAAGGGTGCTTTAACTGTGCGTATTGACTCCACTCTCAAGGTAAGATCCCCGATACTCATATATTTTGGCCTGTTTGCTGAACATGGTCACCAGAAAATAAAACTGGTGTTACTGCTTTGTTATGACCAAACATTTTTCACTAGTCAGCACATGCTGTAATTGTGAGGAAACTCCCCGACCCCCGCAAAAACGTAACAGCTTAGACTAGAAAAGGCACCCAGAAAAACAGAGACTGCAATGTTATTTATGAGTAAATTGCATCATGTCTGAGACATATGACCGACTTTTGCTTTTTCATCATAAATCCATTCCTAGCAACCCCCAACCAAAAAGAGGCCCAGGTGCCTACTAATGAGTGCAGAAAGATGTAGCTAGCTAGCACAACCTGACCAGGCTTGCAATGCATTTGCTATACACACTGTTCTAGTGACTTATTGAGCACTATGTGACTGTAAATAAAAATAAACAAGAAAACATACACACACGCTCAATGTAAATCAGGCAATAAATTGGAAAGGAGTTGGAAAAATGCCCAAATCATGCAGTTTGAATAAATCTATATCCAGATAATATTCAAATTAGTGGATAATGCATTATTAGTAGAATCTGTTCAACCGTTGTGTCGCAGGTTCAAATCCCGGCAGGGTTGACTCAGCCCGTCATCCTTCCGAGGTAGATAAAATGAGTACCCAAAATGGCAGTCAGATATCTCCTTGGATCATAGAAATTATATCCCTGGATGTTATGCTTTTGGAAGTATTAATCCAATTGCTGTCTGTATGGACTCTGATAAAACCACCTTTTCAGGCAGAGAATTCCATATCCTTATTGCCTTAGATCAACTCTCCTTTCTTCCAGTCTAAACCTTACCATTATATAAATAGTGACAGTGCCATATTTGAAGTTATATGCAGCACAATTTGGCGGTATTGCTGTGGGTGCAGAGTTAATACACCATGGCCTGATATTAATACAGCAGGTGTGCAGTTTATAAATATAAGTTTGACTATTAAAAATTAGAATAAATAACCACCATCGCCCAACTATGGCAACAAGTCGCAACCATGGTGTCCAAGATCTTACACTCTGACATCCCGCTTAACCCATGGAAATGGCTTCTGTCAAAACCGCACACCAACACACCCAGAGCACAAAACAAACTGAATCACACTAGCAACTAGAAGGACCATCACAAAAAAATTGGGAAGCCCAGAAACACCATCCGTAGACGTGGTACACCGGAAAATAATAGATTCAATCAAAATGGACAAAATGGCCTCAATGATGCATGATACGACCAAACACTTACATAAAATATGGGACCCATGGTTCTATGAATTCCCAATCTCCGCATAACACACACAGGAATTAACCATGTACATTAAAACCAACCAATCACCACAACTACACCGCACCTCATTTCCCCACCCCCTTTTTTTTTTCTTCTCTCTTCTTCCTTCCAACTCCAAATCCCAGCCCAGACTTGAAACACAACATAAGCCCACCACAGCTTCCGACCAGCCTATCGGTAGGAGACCTCACTCCACGAGTCTCCCACCCCATAACTAAAGACCCACGCACTATCAATAACCTGGGCCACAATGACAAAGGGGGCTACCATACCTCACCACAGCTTAGAGTTCCCCCACCCACCCACCTCTACTACCCAACAGAAAACCACCGTGACCACGAAATCATAACACACGAGAACCATTCGTATACACACTTACAAGCTATGCAAAGAAACACAAGTGAAGAACCACGACACTATTAGACCAATGGACCAACAAATGGCTTAGCAAAACCAACCGCAAATTAAAACAACTTACACACCGCAAAAGACACACTCAGAAGCACGGACATAAACCAGAAGCCAATGGCACCCAGACAGGGGAACGATACCCCTGATATACTCTAGCCCCGAACATCCAACCTGACCTAGCTTGGGACGCCGACCATGGTCTACGACAGCAACACAATACCCGAACCACAACCAAATACGCAGACCACACGGCAATACTAAACGCAGCACCTGACTACCCATTGTCCGACCATCCTACGGAAACACACGGCTTTAACAGGGACAAACTGCAGAGAAACTCCTCATGCCCTCCTTTCACTTGTAGCAGTAGTATGATTTCACCATCCTGCTACCCATTTCACCCAAACCCGTTATTAAATATGAATTGTGCAAACCAACAATCTTGTATGACATGTATTAATCTGTGTACCCATTGTATCAATAAGAATGTGACCTTATTGTTACTTGATATGTTTCTGAAACGTAAATCCTTGTACCTGTTATACCAACAAGATGACTAATCTATTGTTACTCTTTATGCACAAATAAAATAATTGAAAACATTTTTTTTTAGAATAAATAAATCCAATACAAATAATAATCAAAGCAATCCTCATGGCTCACCAACAATCTAGGTTTTGTCAGCATCTCTATTGGAATAAAAAAAAAAAAGGAAATACATAAATCCTGGATTGTTGGTGGGTCATGAGGACTGGTTTGGGAACCACTGATTTAGACCCTTCAGTCCAGGTGGCAGTAGAAAAGGAGGATACCTTATCGGAAGAACAGTGGTATTTATTTGTTTCTGGTTCTTTCCCCAGGAAAAGGTTTGGAATTAGACAGCCAATCACAATACAGCATTTAATAAATTTCATAGTAATGTTTGTAGGCCAGTATTGTGAATTCATAGGATGCACAAACAGCACTCAAATATGATATTATTTTACGAATGATGTTAGGAGGTGTAACGTTCACATGTATCTGTTTATGGTTTACAGTAAAACTGCTTCTCTATGTACACCCATCAGACATATCAGAAGGAGAACTTGTATATTTTATACAGTGGTATCATTTTATATGAAGGAACTAGGAAGTGCAGCTGATGTAGTCCTCTGAGGGACAGATTAAGAAGCTGTCTGCAGTTGCACCTATGAGGCACAGGCTAGGTAACAGGGCCTAACCTCGTGGGGTAGAAGGGGTTCACTAGGCCCACGCAGCGGTGACAGCATTTTAATGCCCTTTCTGTTGTTTACTCTGTTACCAGTGACATCTTTCCTGAGTACCATCACCAGTGGTAAGCCCTTCTTTTTGCTGGGGAGATTAGCTGGGCTGGGATGTGAATGTGGCGATATGAACTTGTGCTGGTGTAGGCAACCTTTGACTCTACAGAGGTTTTTGGCCTACATCTCCCATAATGCTCTTACAGCATAAAATACTGGCAAAGCATCAGGGGGGATGTAGTCCACAACATCTGTAGTGCCTATGCCTGAATTAGTTTGGGAATGGATGTGGTTGAAGGAAGATTATTATGGAGAAGGACGTCAGTGTGGAGAGATGAACTAGGTGAGGAATTTGGATGGTGGAAGATAAAATGGGAAAGGGATTTGATTATTGAGAAATATACTGGGGATTGACATGACTATTTGGAAATGCTATATAAATGGGTATAGACAGTGAAGACTGCCACGGCTGATCTAGATGAAGGGTTAAAAAAAAAATATATATATATTTTTGAGGGGGGAAATGAACTATCTGAGAAATATAACTCTGGGGAGATACTGAGGGATGAATGTGGCTTGATAAAGACAAACGGGGGGATGATGTGGACATAGGGAGATAATATAAGGGGTGTGAGGAGATGTACTGGGGCAGATGTGCTGATGGGGCTACAGGGATTGTTGTTAAAGAAAGCAGAGAGAATGAAAACATAAACATAATAGAATCTTAAAATCACATAAGTAAAGAGAGAAGTAACTAAAAGGAATGGTGGAGCTAGCTAGGAAGGTGGGATTATTACCTGAAACAATATTCCTGATAGTAGATTTGCACAATTTTATAAAATGTTTGCCACCAGAATAGACAGTTTCCAACAGCTGCAGAAATTACAATTTTGGAGTGCAGAAATTACACCTACTCTCCAAAATTGTTTAACAGAAAACAGGATAATGTAGCCCCCAGAATTGAGTGCAGCTTAGTGGAAAGGGACTTAACAGAGCTAGGAGGCGGGCTTAGGTGGAAAGTGGTTTTTAATTGGAGCAATTTAGCTAGTTGGCTGAAACAGTATAAATAGGTAGCCATTTTGGATCCTCTCGTTTTAATTTACTCACAGGGCCAAATCTGTCCCTCTCGCCCTCCCTAAGAGGTTTGGGGGTTTGCAAGGGTTATTCCCCCCTATGTCACAGCAGCGGAGTTAGTGAGCTAAAGTTTAGGAGGAAAACAGGCCCTTGGTTAAGTACAGGGTAGTTATTATGTTGGGTAAGAAGGGATTGATATTGTTCATGTTTAAGTTTGGTAGGTTTCAAGCTCGTCAGTAGCTCAGAACCTGGTGGTGTAGGGGTATCCAGGGACGCCTCTACCATGGTTATCAAAAATTGGCACTTTATGTATTTTGGTTATGACGTTGATTGTTTGTTATAAATGTTATGTTTATTGCTGAAAATATGGGTCATTGCCTTTTGTATGACAGAGGGATATGTTATATTATATGTGGGGGACAATGACTTTAATTATTTATGTCCTCGTGTTACTTTATAATTTATATATATTTAATAAAGCTGTGGACTTATTGATCCATATAAGATTGGTGTTCGTGTTTTATTTTGTAGATGATAAGGTGGAGTCTTTTATTCCACCAGCCCATATGGTAACGATACACCTGTCATGCCCACAGCCACCTAGCACCACAATTACTACAAAGATCTGTAGTATAGTGCTTAGAGAGTCCCTCTAACTTCTCCTTCAATATACCCAAAAAGCATCCTTATACATACGTTATAAAACAGAGTCCTGTGTAAACAATATATGTTTTTCAATGTAAAAGTTGTTGCATTTCCAGGGTTAATATTTTCAAGGGTTTCAGAATGTTTTTAAATTAACCAACACATTCATTAAAATGAGAAGCTCAGACATGCTCACAAGCTTTAGAAATAGCCGAGCAATGTGAAATAAAACTGGTATACTCCAGTGAGAAGCAAACATGTCCCAAGTCACGTAGTATTCATTCAACATTTCGCAACTAACATGGAACAAGAATTCTGTGTCATAAAGCCTTCTACCTCCAAACAATGATTTATAGCACATAATTCAATTACCTGCTTAACACACCCATCCATAACTTGTGTGTTCATATTTATTGAGGGTTTTATCAATTGAGGGTGTGTGAGTGTCACAAAGTTAGGGGTGAGTGTGACAGGGTATGAGGGTGAATGTGAGAGTTGGGGGGTGGGTGAGTGTGACAGGAAGAAGGGGTTGAATGAGACAGGTGGAGAATGTGACAAGGTAAGTGTGGCAGGGTGGTGAGTATGACAAAGTTGGGGGTGAGTGTGACAGGGTATGAGGGTGAGCATGAGAGTTGGGGTGGGTGGGTGAGTGTGACAGGAAGAAGGGGTTGAATGAAACATTTGGAGAATGTGGCAGGGTGGTGAGTATGACAAAGTTGGGAGTGAGTGTGATAGAGTGAGGAGGAGTGACTGTGGCATGGTGAGTGAGGAATTGACAAGTGTGTGGTTGAGTTACAGTATGTGAAGAGCTGGGCTAAACACACAGACCATTAATACTTTTTATCTACAAGTGCCCCTCCCGAGATCAGGCTCTGGATCCGCCACTGGTCAGACTGCCTCACAGAGCACTGAAACCATGAGGAACCATGGGAAACCAGGGAATGATTTCTAAAGAGCTGTGAAGGGGAGGGGGTGGCTATCTGAGAGGGAGCTTATGGGTATCCGGATGTGGTGGCAACAACCATCTTCATCTGTTGCACATGCACACACAGTTCCCTCTAGTTAAGCCTCAGGTAGGGACAATCCCTACTTTGGGCCCAATTTCTTCTTTTCTGTCCTATGTCCTCCTTTTCTACAAATACCATATTGTTATTGTGTCTCAGTGTATAACAAAGCTCTACACCAATTATACTCACTGTACTGTGTCTCTAAACTACAATCAATGTGCTTAGAGAGCAAATCCCAAGATGAAAAAGGGGTGAAGATGCTTTCTGGGGTGGGAACCTAACATCGCTGCTCCCACTGCTGCAGCCCTTTCACATGGCTTCATAAGAGGTTTAGGGGTCAGAAGGAGTCTCAACAACCAATGTTGACAATTAACAATTAAGCACGATTGCACTATACCACCCATTCCATTTTGCTGCCGTAAGTATCGCCTTGTTAATTGAATGGACTAAATGTCCCTGACTTGAAATGCCCTTTAAGGTGAACATGCAAATAGAAAATGCAAAATAGAGGACTGCATTGAAACCAGGCCTTTCCTAGAGAGAAATCTAACCATCTTAAAGGGACAATGTAAGCATCAAAGCAGCTACATCTTAATAAAGTTGTTTTGGTGCAAAGATATTTTTCCTGCACAAATGTAAGCATTGCTGCTTGTTACATCCAGTATGTCACTAAGGACGCCTCTAGTAGCTGTCATTTAAACAGCTGGTAGAGGCAAGACTTTGTGAAGTCCCTGAACGTTGTGAATGCTTGTCATGTAGAAGTATTGGATTCAATGATTCTCTAAGAGAATTATCCAATCCCTATGAGAATTATCTAATCGCTTCAAATTATCCAATCACTCAACGATTGCTGCGTATGTACTGTAGGGCCCAAGTGCTTCTCTATGAGAAACAGTTAATTAGCCTGAGATTAACTTTTTTCTTTTTTCTTACTTTTACAGGGAGTACAATAATTGTAATATGCAGAAGACTAACTTTATAAACAAATATATTTATAACATTAGAGTGTTCCTTGAAGACAGTTGAATATATTTTGTTGCATGAAGTGACAGACAGCGATTCTAGTAGGAGAAGGAGCACAATTCTCGTCATTCTGTGATGACTTTTGGCTAGATGGACAGGATTGGAGTTGTAGTGGGGTAATAACTTCATGGTTGGATAGATGGACGGACAGACAGATTGATTTGGCTGCCATGTATTGTAATGCTGCCAGGGGTAGCAAATAGTTTTGTAAGAAACTTACCCACTGCTATATAACCCTGATACCAAGGTCACACAGGCCTCTTACAGCTATCAGTTGAATTCTGTTAGCAGTGAAAAGCTTAACTTTGGTTATTGAATAGTGTCACGGAAGCCATGACTTATCCTTCCAAGTATATTTGTTCCGTGAACTCTCCTTTACTTCCTTTGTCCCACTACCCCTTGTTCACTACCCAAAGGACATCATCCGGGAGCCAGAGTGCCAAGACGCTATCAGCAGGAGTAATCTAGGTTCACCCTAGAGCTCCGGCTCGGCCTCACAACTCTGCTTTCGGCCCTTTCCCAACCACCCAGGACTACACTTTTTGGAAACGGGGAGGTGGCATCCCGGTCTGACAGGAAGTGCTCTCTTAGTAAGGCCACGCTACACACAGTCAGGAGGAGAGTAGCACAGCTCTCCCCTCCTGCCAGACACAAGCGGACATGGGCCAGTGCAGCTGTGGACCAGCCCAGAAGGTATCCAGGCAGCCCACGGTCACAGGGGTCATGCCTGCAGCCGGGCCCCCTGGAGTGATTGGTACGCCACTGCTTGTTCCCAATACGACCTGTTGCGTCCACTATATTGGGGGAATTTCTACACGGATCTGGAGAGTTATAACGCTACTAAGCACATTTGAAACTAGGACCAGCGGACGAGTGAAGGAATGGCGACAAGAGCCTAGGAACCCTTGACAAATCGTAAATCTTTCATTGAAGTTGGTCTACTGGAAAATTGCTACTCAGCAAGCTTAGAAATATCCCAAACAAAACAAGATAAGGTTGCGCCTAAAATATACAATAAAACATATAAAGATTGTATATAATAAATAGTATAAAATAGTAAAAATGTAATATAAAATATAAATGAATTGTAAAATAAATAGTTGGCAGTAGTCCAAAACACTTATCATAAGTCCGTAATGGTAGATGCCACGTATAAGAACAGGGATTCTAAGACGTAGAGTGGAGTGTGTCTTCACAGTAGTGTGCTAGAAATCCAGTAGAGCAAATGTGGAGAGAAGACAAAAAGGAACTCCAATGGCACAGTAAATAGACGAATAAAATAGTATGTAAAATAAGAATAATCTTACTCACACTTTTCAGAGCTAAAACCTAGCTCTGATATAGCGCATGTGAAGTGGAATGATCCCCACTCAAGGATATGCGGAGTAATTTGATTGACGAGTATCTGGCTCAGATTAGGCGTCCGAGTTGGTGTTATTCGACCCAGGAAAGAAAAATAAAATATATAGTGCTCTCTGTATAGTAGTTAAAAGGTATAAAAAGTATATAATATACTACTCACAGTATATAGAGCAGACTTGTACTGCTCGGTGTAGGCGCTTGGGTGGTATAATCCCCACCTAAGGATTCTTTAGACTTCTCGTCAGATAGGCAGTATATGTATAGTCAGGTGAAAGCAAATAAAGAAAATGGCTATAAAATATCTTATGCCAAACTTAATTTCTTTATTATAAAGTAATAAAATAATAAAAATTATATCTAAACGCGTTTCGCCTCAAGGGCTTCTTCAAGTAGATAATAGTAAAAATGAGCTCTTTTTTACTATTATCTACTTGAAGAAGCCCTTGAGGCGAAACGCGTTTAGATATCATTTTTATTATTTTATTACTTTATAATAAAGAAATTAAGTTTGGCATAAGATATTTTATAGACATTTTCTTTATTTGCTTTCACCTGACTATACAGATACTGCCTATCTGACGAGAAGTCTAAAGAATCCTTAGGTGGGGATTATACCACCCAAGCGCCTACACCGAGCAGTACAAGTCTGCTCTATATACTGTGAGTAGTATATTATATACTTTTTATACCTTTTAACTACTATACAGAGAGCACTATATATTTTATTTTTCTTTCCTGGGTCGAATAACACCAACTCGGACGCCTAATCTGAGCCAGATACTCATCAATCAAATTACTCCGCATATGCTTGAGTGGGGATCATTCCACTTCACGTGCGCTATATCAGAGCTAGGTTTTAGCTCTGAAAAGTGTGAGTAAGATTATTCTTATTTTACATACTATTTTATTCGTCTATTTACTGTGCCATTGGAATTCCTTTTTGTCTTCTCTCCACATATGCTCTACTGGATTTCAAGCACATTACTGTGAAGACACACTCCACTCTACGTCTTAGAATCTCTGTTCTTATACGTGGCATCTACCATTACGGACTTATGATAAGTGTTTTGGACTACTGCCAACTATTTATTTTACAATTCATTTATATTTTATATTAAATTTTTACTATTTTATACTATTTATTATATACTATCTTTATATGTTTTATTGTATATTTTAGGCGCAACCTTATCTTGTTTTGTTTTGTATTTCTTCTTATCATTAGGGGACTATAGGGGACTCCCCTTTGAGGTTTGCAGCCTTTCTACTATTATTATTTTCTTGTGTGGCAGCCTAGCGCTGATTTCTCCTTTTCCATTTCTTATAGAAATATCCCAACCCTGAATTCAGCCCTGTATACCCACGTTAGACTTTTCCCTACCTCCCAGCCACATTGTAGCCTTACAACCATACCAGAACCATATTAATCCCCAAAATGCCACATTTTAACTATTTAACAACTTTAGAGTTGACACATAGCCATATTTAGGTTTATTATAACCCCATAAGCGGAAACTTTTTGATCATATTATCCCCAAATCCATAAACATTCTACCAGTAGCACACTTTCCACTTTACTGATAAACATATGTTCCCTGTAATCAGTGGCGTACACCTGACCCATGGGGCCCCGGTGCGAAAATTGATCCGTGGCCCGCCCCCCCCCCCCCGGGCCGGGCCGCAACACATGGCGGTGGGCACCTGGTCGCAGGGGTTACAGGGCTGCGACCCCTGTATGTACGCCAGTGCATGCAGATGCACACACACTTAAAGGACCACTCTAGGCAACCAGACCACTTCAGTTTAATGAAGTGGTCTGGGAGCCAGGTCCAGCTAGGGTTAACCCATTTTTTTCATAAACATAGCAGTTTCAAAGAAACTGCTATGTTTATGAATGGGTTACGCCTTCCCCTATTTTCTCTAGCGGCTGTCTCATTGACAGCCGCTAGAGGCGCTTGCGTGCTTCTCACTGTGATTTTCACAGTGAGCGCACGCCAGCGTCCATAGGAAAGCATTATGAATGCTTTCCTATGTGACCGGCTGAATGCGCGCGCAGCTCTTGCGGCGCGTGCGCATACAGCCGACGGGGAGGAGAATAGGAGGAGAGCTCTCCATCCAGAGCTGGAAAAAGGTACGTTTTACCCCTTTTCCCCTTTCCAGAGCCGGGCGGGAGGGGGTCCCTGAGGGTGGGGGCACCCTCAGGGCACTATAGTGCCAGGAAAACGAGTGTTTTCCTGGCACTATTGTGGTCCTTTAAAGGACCACTACAGACACCCAGATCACATCAGCTCAATGAAGTTGTCTGGGTGTCAGGTCCCTCTAGTTTTAACCCTGCAGCTGAAAACATAGCAGCTATGTTTCACTGAGGGTTAATCCAGCCTCTAGTGGCTGTCTCATTGACAGCCGCTAGAGGAGCACACTGAACGTCCATAGGAAAGCATTGAGTAATGCTTTCCTATGGGCGGTTTGAATGCGTGCGCGGTCGCATTCGGAGCTGAGAGGTTGAGGGATCCTCAGCGCCAAGGGAGTCCGGCGCTGGAGAAAGGTAAGTGCTGAAGACACACACACACACTTACAGACGCATACACACTAGCTAACAGACACACAAATTTACTGACAGACACAGTCAGCGACAGACATACATACACACACACTCACTTACAAAACATACACTTTCATTGACAAACACACTCACTAACAGACATCAAACAGACTCACTAACACACACACACTCAGTAAGACACACACACTAACACTCACTCTAACACACACTAACACTCACACTAACACTCACTAGCAGACACACACGCTAACACTGACTGTAACACACACACACACTAACACTCACTAGCAGACACACACACTAACACTCACTGTAACACACACAAACTAACACTCACTAGCAGACACACACACACTCACTGTAACACACACACACACACTAACACTAACACTCACTAGCAGACACACACACACTAACACTCACACATTTTTTTTTTTTATTTAATCCCCCCAGCCTCCTTACCTTTTGGAGTGCTGGGGGGATTCCCTGGGGTCCAGTGGTGTTGCTGTGCTCCTGGGCGGGTGGCCGGTCGGGCAGGCGGGCGCGCGAGGGAGCACTCAGTGCTTCCTCTTCAGCTCCCTCGCGCGCCGCGTAGGGAATGCCGGCGCCGGAAGATGACGTCATCTTCTGGCTCCGGTATCAGTGCGGTGCGCGAGGGAGCTGAATAGGAAGCACTGAGTGCTCCCTCGCGCGCCCGACCGGCCACCCGCCCGCAGGGCCAGCCTTGGGGGGCCTTGGGGTGGTCGGCTCCTGGTCCCCCCAGGGGAAGAGGCTGGCCCAGTGGCTACATACCGGGTCACAGGGGCGACCGGGCCCCCTGGTGGGCCGGGCCCTGTCGCAGCCGCGACCCCTGCGACCCTGGTATGTACGCCACTGCCTGTAATACTAACCTATCTTTAAAGACATATAAGCGACACTTCATCTGCTGTGGATATGAATCTCATGCATCTGGCCGAGTATCACAGACATTGGTGGAATGAAGATTACCTATCACTGATTTAAATAAATAAGTAGCACATAGTTCTCAGAATACTGTGCTCCAATGTCCTATTGTTTCACCTTAGTTATACATCACTTGTTGCCATTGGAAACCGAGTGGTGTTAGTGATACATATTAGGTTTCAAGCTTAACAAATTGGTTGTAATATCCAAATGAGTTTCTAAAGCGTAAGAATATCCAGCGTGTTCACATCTCTTAGGGTTGTTAAACTAAACAGTTTCAGATAAAAATCATGCCCTCAATGTAATCCTATCTATCAACCAGGCTTTTTTTATTTTAATCATTTTTACTCTTTGTCTTTGAAGATTTTCCATGTTGTTTCCCAAATGGTTAAAATGTAGGTGCTAGATATAATAATAATGACTAGAAAACTCCATCTGCTTGAAACCTCATGCATACAAAAGAATGCACACTGATTACATTTTTTTTTTCATTGTTATTTTATTTGTTTTTATGTATAATTGATTGTATTATAAATTTCTGTTTTTTTAAATATTCAGTTTTCAATTCATTATAACTCAATATTTTGTGAATAATTTGCAAGGTGTACGTCTCTATATTCAACTGCCATAATAAAAATCGTCACAGTAGCACTGTCTCTGTGATGTAATTCTCATTCTCAATCACAGTGAATGTGAATAAGAAAATATATTTATACTCTCCAAGAAAATATATATATATATATATATATATATATATATATAAAGATGTTTATAGTCAACAACTAGCCCTGAACTGGCCATCAGAAAAAACAGGCAAATGTCAGTGGGCCATCATTGCCATAAGTGGGGAAACCCAAATATCTCCCCAAATGGTCCATGCAGGGTCAACTCTTTCAAAGCACTGGCTTATATAGGGTGCTATTAACGATAGGTTAGTGGATGTAAAGAACTCACCTCAAGACTATAATCTACTAAGCAACCCCCTGTGCATTTCCACTCCCCTATGTAATGTATCACCCACCACCCCTTGTTCGATACCCAGGAGACGTTATCCGGGAGTCGCAGTGCCCAGACGCTGTCAAGCGGGAGTAACCTATGTTCGCTCTGGAACTGCAGCTCAGCCACAACCAACGCCAAACCACAGTCATTTTGTATTGCGGTTTTCACCACCTTCCCAACTACCCAGGATGGTACTTTTCCATGGACGTTTGCCATGAACTCCTGGAGGAGGGTGGAAGTTGGCCTCCTGCCCACCGACAATGGTCCAGATCGGAGACCCCGTTCGGGAGTTACCCTGCTCTAAGAAAAGATCCTGAGAGAGGGAGAGACAAGGAATCGATTAAAGAAAGCTGTCCAACTCAACTTTACTCCAGAAATCCTGAAAAGCATACAAGGAACACCTGGAAGAAAGATGGGGACATCCTATTGAGAGTCCCTCTACATTACCCTTGAGAGCCATATGTTATTATTTGGCTCCAGGCTTGTGAGTACTTGATACCCATAATATTTGTATATTGTTTATACTGGCAATATTGCACTATATTATTTTGTCTTTTTTAGATACATCAGACGTGTGATCCACCTATTGTATATATTCTTTGTAAAATCAATGTTCATTTATGTTGTATTAAGAAAATATCAGATTGTTATAGTATTGCTTTTCACTATGACTAAATTACTGAAGTACAAGTAGTATATCTCAAAAACTAGAGCTAATAAATAAAGTATGAAGTCATATTTGTATTTCTTGACCCAAAATTAGTAAAGTGTGACTATTTGTAGTAAGTAACCAGTGTATTTAGTGAATAATCGTCATAGGTAAATCGTCTTCCCTTGTACATTTATTGGATTTGTCGGTACAAAATGCCAAGTCATGTTAGCTTCACAAACAGTGTCTTTCCCCTTCTCATGTTGAATTTTTTGTTGAGTCACAGTTACCTTACTAGAATCAAGAAATAGAACATAGTACACACTGTTTGTGTTAAGATGATGTAAGCGCAGACATTTCTATTTTGGTATTATATAGTAAGGCAGGACTGGTTTAACTCCTTTACGTCACAATGTAGTCCTTAAAGTGAACCTTACCTGTTATGACTGGTTCACAGATAACAGCTCCTAAATGAAGATATCATTTATCATAAAGGTAAATATCTGATTTAATTACTTTACTTACTTTTATGTTAATACTTACGTCCTCTTCACCAGTGCCACCACTGCTATGAATATTGCTTTCAGTCACTACCACATCACGTGCCCCACTGCCATGCTATTACTTACCCAAATTCTTACCCAAGCTGGGCAGTCCTCCCCATGGTGTTGACATGCTGATATCAATGCCTGCGCCTGTGCAGTGTCAATATTGCATCTTACATGATGTCATCACAACAGCTACAGTTAATGCACAATATTTTCTGTGAAGAAGCCTGCATGATGGTTCTCCAGTTTTACCCTGTCAGCAGATTGTTGAACTGATTGACAGTTTTCAAAGTTTCTTTTCACACTATGGGACGAATGGTATGTATTTTGCGTCACTGAACTGAAGTTACTGCTGATGCTGAGACAATTTGTCTTTCTAATCACAGCCAAGTATCCGCTACCTGTTGGGACTAAAATTAGTGCATTTAAGTATAATAAGCACCTCAAACTGAGCCTTAAAAGACTAAGCTTTAAAAGCCTGGAGTTCCATTGGGCATGCCCTTGCCATATAAGCACTGTAGGTCTGGAGTGCTTTCATATGAGGGCTCCTTATCTTCACTTATTACTGGAACAATCCAGAAATAATTTACTTGTAAACCCATCGGCCCGAGGAGGGGGATGTTTAAGACAAGTTGGCAGTTAGTCCTCAGATGCTCTAGCAGGGGCGAATGGAGAACACAATATTGGGAGGGGCACTATAAGATTATTTAATTTCAGAGTGAGATATATGCTATATACATTTATTATGCATATGGACATGCATGCACAGACATCTAATTTCACTGACACACAAACAAGCTCAATGGCAAACACACACAAGCTCACTGACAAACTCTCTGACACACTGACTGGGAAGACTTTATCAAGACAATGTTCATATTAGGAGATGCACCTGTACTCAAGCAGCATTGCCAGAGCAGGATTAACCACAATGCTACCCTAGGCATTAAAGCTAAACATTTGAGAAGGATTCAGTCTGTACAAACAGGTGCACAATTAGCATTTAGATTAGAAAGATAAAATGTTGGTATTTTAAATAGGACCGCTATACAACGTTCATGGTACTGAACCTAGAATATTTATTTTTAGGGATTTAAAAGTATATACCGTATTTATCGGCGTATAACACGCACCTCATTTTAAGAAGGAAATTTCAGGGAAAAAAAACTTAAATGACCACTATAGTGGTCCTTTAAGTTTTTTTTCCCTGAAATTTCCTTCTTAAAATGAGGTGTGTGTTATACACCCTCAGGGACCCCCTCCCACCGGGCTCTGGAGAGAGGAAGGGGTTAAACACTTACCTTTCTCCAGCGCCGGACGGGGAGCTGTACTCCTCCTTGCTCGCGACGTCATCGGTTGAATGCGCACGCGAGGCAGGAGCCGCGCGCGCATTCAGCCGGTCGCATAGGAAAGCATTTACAATGCTTTCCTATGGACGCTTGCGTGCTCTCACTGTGATTTTCACAGTGAGAAGCACGCAAGCGCCTCTAGCGGCTGTCAATGAGACAGCCACTAGAGGCTCTGGAGGCTGGATTAACCCTCAATATAAACATAGCAGTTTCTCTGAAACTGCTATGTTTATAAAAAAAAGGGTTAATCCTAGAGGGACCTGGCACCCAGACCACTTCATTAAGCTGAAGTGGTCTGGGTGCCTAGAGTGGTCCTTTAAATTTCAAATAAAGAACTTCTTACCCCCTTTCTTACTCCCCCCTCCCCCTCTTGCCCCTTTCTTACTCCCCCTCTTCTTACCCCCCTTTCTTACTCCCTCCCCCTCTTGTTACCCCCTCTTCTTACCCCCCTCCCACCCCCTCCCCCCTTTCTTACTCCCCTCCCCCCTCTCTTACTCCCCACTCCCCCTTCTTACTCCCTCCTCCCCTCTATTCACCCCTTCTTACCCTCTCCCCTCTATTCACCCCTTCTTGCCCCCCTTCTTACCCCCTCCCTGTGGCGTGGCGACAGCTCTGCTGTCAGCGGTGGCGGCGGCGGGGTGATAGGAAGGTGCGCTCAGTGTGCACCTTCCTGTCAGTCGACGGGTACAGGAAACAGAAACTCCCATTTCGCCCGGAACAGGGTTTCTGTTGGTCGGCAAACAAGGAGGCACACTGGCGTGCACTCCGGCTTAACCTAGAATACCAACTGCAGCCGCCTGAGCGCTCTTGACAGAGCGCTCAGGCGGCTGCAGTATTTAAAGGGCCAGCGTATAACACGCACCCACAATTTCTCCCCTATTTTCAGGGAGAAAAAGTGCGTGTTATACGCCGATAAATACGGTATACATATAAATGACCATGCAAATATTAAATTTCACTTCTGTCTCAGAAGTAAAGCAGAAACAAAACACTGTGAAATAAAGAAGTGATTCCTCGTGATTGTCAGCTGGTGTCCTTAACCCTTTCATGATGTTCTATGTCGTGTGTTACTGTGCTGTGCTTGAGGTGGAGATACCATCTAGTCAAAGTGAAATGATGATGTACTTAACCAGGGGAGGGCTGGCAGCCTTAGGCCTGGGGGGCAAAATCAGTCAAGTGGCCCATTGCACCACCAAATCAGTTCACCATCCATGCCCACCTTTTCCTGGTTTTATAACGGATATTGATGTTATGCTAATCAGTAGCTCTTTGCCATACCTGCTCCTTCACGGCTCTGACTTTCAATGTTGTCAGAGCGCAGACTGAGAATCTCTGAGCCTGTGCTCTGACTCACTAACTGAGCGCCGGAACCACGAGGGAGAGAATATAATCTGACTGCACCTACTGCTGGTGCGCACCAGTGGACACCCAGTGAATCGTTTAAATTGAATATGCTGGTGTCCCCAACTTGTGAGCTGTGTTGGCCGCCGGGCGCCTCTGTTGTCATGGCACCCTGCGTGATCGCACAGCGTGCACACCCCAATGGCTGGCCCTGCTGACACACACTGATGTTACTACTTAGACATCCCTCAATATTAATACAGACATCAGAGTAAACACCAATAAACTGTGGAAACAGAGCTGAACCCCCCAAATTTATAAAGATTTGCTTAGTGGATTTGTTGTAAGATTAAATCATGCCTCCTCCTCTCTCCCATGCGCTGCTCTGTAGGCTGGGAGGAAGTGAAGAGCAATCACAATCTCCCAGCACAGCGGCACCTGTGGCTGCATGGGGAACAGCTGTTTAATGTAATGCTTGCAGGACGGCCAGCTGCCGCAGAACCTCTTTGTTCCCGTCTCTGCAAAGGGCTCCAGGCACTGCTTGTTGTGAGTGTGAGCCACAGTAAATTATGGGCAGAGGGCACTTGCACTGTAAAGATGGATCTGGGCAGGAGGAGAGTGCTGTGCAATCAGTGCACTCCCCTCCTGTGGGTCAACAGTAGACTGGTGCACCTGCCCAGGATCAGAGCCGGTGCAAGGATTTTTGCCGCCCTAGGCAAAAGAAAAATTTGCCGCCCTCCCCATATGACATCACAATGCCCCACCTATATGATCTGCCATATGAACTAATGCCAGTGCTGCACACAGTGTGTGTTTACATTAAAAAGTCTGCAGGGACCGGCTATAGACACCAGAACCACTTCATTAAGCTGAAGTAGTTCTGGGGACTATAGTGTCCCTTTAATGTGAGGTAAATTATAGATTAGTGTCACTAATAATATACTAGATTGCCTACTTACAACCAGATGAGGAAGAGGATGGGCTGCAGTTTGGCTCCACTGGTTTGGTGTAGAACAGGATCTCTGGAGGCTGTAACTGTGGTCACATAATTCAAAATTCTAGTAGAATGGGAAGCAGCTCCATTTTTTGGGGACCTCTTACACAGCTCAAGGTCTGGGCCCCAGGGACTGACGGTGAGTATGCCCATAAGGCCCACCTATAAGTTCACCTACATGTTCCACCCATGAGTTTGCTCACAGGAAGTGGAGTGTGTAGGGGATGTGTTATGTGTTATTGTAGAGGATCTAATGTGTGTGCTTATGGTATGTAGTGTATAGGGATACCAGTTTGTGTAGGTGATGCAGTGTATTTGTTTGTAGTGGAAGCAGTGTGTGTTTGTGTATAAGGGATGTATTGTGTGTTTCTGGTTGTGTGTAAAGGATGCATTGTGTGAATCTGTGTTTGTATGCATAAGGGATACAAGTTGTGTGTCTGTAAGTGTGTGCATTGAGTGTGTGTAAGAAATGCTTTGTGTAATGGATGCATTGTGTGTTTCTCTGTGTGTAAGGGAAGCATGTTGTGTTTCTGTGTATGTATAGGGATGCATTGTGTGTGTGTGTGTGCGCGTAGTGTGAAAGAGCTCCCTGTCCTACCCCCTGTCCTATAGAGCTCTCCCCTGCCCCTTAGTGGTCTCTCCTCCCCCATCCCCTAGCAGTCCCTTCTCACACCCACCCACCCTCCCTGTGCTCTTCTCATCCCCCCCCCCAAACCTCTGATGTTCTTTTCACCCCCCCTCCATGTGTTCTCCTCACTCCCACCCTGCGTTCTTCCCACCTCCCATTCCAAGTGTTCTCCTCACTTTGCCCTATGTGTTCTCCTCACTCCCCCGTGTTCTCCTCACTCCCCCGTGTTCTCCTCACCCTCCACCCTCCCTGTGTTCTTCTCACTCCCCCACCCTCCCTGTTCTTCTCACTCCCCCCACCTGTGTTCTTCTCACCTCCCCCCTCCATGTGTTCTCCTCATCTCCCCTTCTCCTCCCTCCTCCCTGCATTCTTCTTACTCTCCCCCCTCCTCCCTGTGTTCTTCTTACTCCGCCCTCCCTGTGTTCTCCTTACCCCGTGTTCTTCTTACTCCCCCCAGTTCTTCTTACTCCCCCCGTTCTTCTTAATCCCCCTGTTCTTCTTAATCCCCTCCCCCGTTCTTCTTAATCTCCCCAACCCCCCTGTTCTTCTTAATCTCCCCACCCCTTCTTCTTAATCCCCGTTCTTCTTAATCCCTCTCCCCCATTCTTCTTAATCCCCCTATCCTCCCCCCTGTTTTTTTAAACCCCACCCCCTGTTCTTCTTACTCTCCCCTTCCCTGTAGCGTGGCCAAGCTCCTCTCCGGTCCGCGGAGCCCGGCTGGAGTGATAGGAAGGTGCACACTCAGTGTGCACTTACTGTCAGTCCAGCTGGGTACAGGAAACCGAAACTCCTGTTCCTCGCGGAGTTTCTGTTTCCTGTAACCGGCCGGAGTGTGCACCTTCCTATCACTCCGGCTGGGCACCGCGGAACGGAGAGGAGCTCGGCCACGCTACAGGGAAGGGAAGGGGAGAAGCTGTGCTGCAGCCGCCAGAGGCTCTTAACAGAGCGCTCAGGCGGCTGCAGCATTAGGACTGGCCCTGCAGCGGCCGGTTTTAAAATGATTTGGGGTGGCCTGGGGGGCAATTGCCTCCCTGCCCCCCGGCCCAGCCCGCCCCTGTACTCAACCACAGGGCCGGCGCGTCCATAAGGCGATATTTCAGTGACCGGCAGGAGAGAAGCTCTCCCTCCTGCTAGGCCACCATCTCGACCCCCGGCGTGGCGTGCGGCAGTGCTGTGATCAGGCGCGGCGAGGGAGCTCTAATCTCCACCCTCTGCTCCCTCGCGCGCTGCCTACTGATGCCGCGGGAGCCGGAATATGACGGCATCAGTAGGCAGCCCGCGGCATCAGTAGGCAGCCCGCGAGGCAGCAGAGGGTGGAGATTAGAGCTCCCTCGCCGCGCCTAATCACAGCACTGCCGCACGCCTCCCAGCAGCCCCAGCCCTCAGGGACCGATCCATCATCCACACCAGCTCTCCAGGTAGGGAGGCTGGGTGGAAAATGTGTATTTATAAAATTATTAGTGAATGTATGTGATGTGTGTCTGTGAGTGACAGTGTGTGTGTCTGTGTGTGTGTGTCTGTGAGTGACAGTGTGTGTGTGTGTGTCTCTGAGTGACCGTGTGTGTGTGTCTCTGAGTGACAGTGTGTGTGTGTGTGTCTGAGTGACTGAGTATGTGTGTGAGTGAGTGATTGTATGAGTGTATGTGTCTCAGTGACTGTGTGCATCTGTGTGTGTGTCTGTGAATGACAGCGTGTGTGACTGAGTGTGTGTGTCTGAGTGACTGAGTGTGTGTGTGTCTGAGTGACTGAGTGTGTGTGTGTCTGAGTGACTGTGTGCGTCTGTGTGTGTGTCTGTGAATGACAGCGTGTGTGACTGAGTGTGTGTGTGTCTGAGTGACTGAGTGTGTGTGTGTGTCTGAGTGACTGAGTGTGTGTGTGTCTGAGTGACTGAGTGTGTGTGTGTGAGTGATTGTATGAGTGTGTGTATGAGTGACTAAGCGTGTGTCTGTGAGTGACTGTGTGTGTGAGTTGAGTGTGTCTGTGTGTCTGTGAGTGATTGTATGAGTGTGTGCATGTGAGTGTATGAGTGTCTCAGTGTATGATGAGTGTGTTTGTCAGTGCATGAGTGTGTGTCTGTCAAATCAGTGAGAGTATGTTGGTCATTGAGTCTGTGTGTGACTATCAGTGTGTCTGTCAATGAGTGTCAATCAGTGTGGGTCTGTCAGTGTCAATGAATGAGTGTGTCAGATCAATGAGTCTGTGTCTGTTAGCGACGTCTGTGTGTTTGTCATTGAGTGTGTGACTGTCAGTGTGTACAGAGTGTAGTGGAGCAGGGCGCGGTACAGGAGCTTCTGTTTCCTGTACCTGGCCAGACTGACAGGAGGTGCTCACAGAGAGAGCACTCCCTGTCAGTCCGGCCGGGTACAGGAAACTGAAGCTCCTTTAGGGGATCTGCTCCACTCGGCAATGCAACAATAGAGGTAGGAGGCACACCAGGAAGCGGAGTGTGACCACTAAAGGGGTGTGGGGTGCACCAAGGGACAGGGAGGGAATGGGAGAGAAACACCAAGAGACAGGGAAAAAAGGGGGGAGGGGAGAAGAACACTAAGGGACAGGGAAGGGAAGGGACCACTAATGGTTGGGGAGGGGAGAGGGGCTGGTTAAGAGGCACATAGGTGAAGATTTTTTGGGGGGTGGGGAGGGGGGGCGGAAAAATGCATCTTCGCCTATGTACCTAAAAATCCAAGCACCGGCCCTGCTCAACCATCACAGAGTTATTGGGCAAACTGCCTGCTCTGTGACTTCGCTGTCACTATTAAGAGCCAGTAGCTTGTAGTGGCTGCAAATTACCACCAACTTTACAAACTTGTTGCAAAATGTTTGCAGCCTATTGCCTATAACAGCTGCCGATACAGATACCAACCACTTGCTTGTTAGCAGCTTTCTGGTAAAGCACAGAAACACACAATTGAGCATCTCGTGTGGGCTGTTAGCACCAGGCAACTAATAGCTGACCAGCAAAGAGCAGCATCAGAGTAGACACAAGACTTTTTTGTTTTAAGGATTTAAGGGGACACTTCACCGCCAATTTACAAAATAAACCAAAACACTGTTTAGTAGATATACCCAATTTTTTTCCATTGGTGGGTATATAAAAACAGATTGAAAAAGCTGCAGTTCTCTTGTCTGCTGCCTTTACAAGCCCTCCCATTCTTCCCCAGCCCAGATTTACTGTGCATATCCAATCACTGACTTCCCAATGCAGCTCAATGAGATTTTTTGCAAGGCAGATGCTATGAGCAATTGCTGCCTCTTGAGCTTAGCTCCACAGAGCTAACCAAACCAGGAAATAACATAACTTGTCTCCTTACAAGCCAAGGCGATGTAACAAGGTTAAATTATAAAAGTGTCAATTTATACAGAAATCTGCACTTGTAGCAACTGATTGTAAACAAGCACTATGTCAGCTGTGTTTTCAATTGCTTGAAAAAACATGTTAAAGGTGCTCAAATAAACTCATGGTATTAACAACAATCACAATTTAGAATTTAGTGAGGAACCCTCGTGATACAGTTGCACTCTGCTCTATTTCTTACTGTGTTTGTCTGAAAAAAATGTCAAGTCATGCTAGCCTCATAAACAGTGTCATTCCCCATTGTATAATTTTGTGCTGAGTCACGCTTACCTTAGTAGGACCAAGAAATACACACTGTGTGAAAAGATGATGTCAGTGAAGACATTTCTATTTTAGAATTATTTGGTAAGTTGGGACTGATTAATTAAATTCCTTTCCACTCAGAAAGATGTACAGTACTTCATGATACAAAGTGATCTGGCTCACTTTGCCAGATCCCAGCTCCAATATAATATATTATCTAATTTATTATAAAGATAAATTATATATTTAAAGGAACACTACAAGTACCATAATCACTAGAACATGAAGTGTAGTTATGGCGCCAGGAGAACCATGGGGTCTGCCAGGTGCTGCTGCAAAACCTGAGTAGGAGCTTACTACTCTTGAGGAATTGCACTTAAAGTTCTAAAAATGTTTAACTACATACAGCGGGGGACACCAGGGCACTTCTGGCACCATAACCACTGTAAATTTAAAAAACATCTTTTGTGTCGCTTTCGCACCCACTTACCTCTTTGTGTGTATCTCCTGATTTTTCTTGTGTGTTTCTCTTAATCCCATTTTCAACCTTGTGTCTCTTAAACCCTTTTATTTTATTCTGTATCTCTTAACCCCCCTTACCTCATGACTGTTTCTTAAACCTCTTACTATTTTTGTCCCCCACATATACATACACAGTATTATGCATGCATACACAGATATGCAATCATGCATGTACTCATATACAACCATGGACACATATACCTAGACAAACAGTTGCATACATATACACAGTTGTACAGTCACATGCACACACGTAGTCAAGCAAACATACACAGTCACAGGCACTCAGTCACATGCAGATAGTCACATACACACGCACAGAGTAAGATAGACACAATAGTCAGGTACGTACAGACAGACACAAACGCTATATTACACACAGTTACACAAGCAGACACACACACACACACACACACACACACAGCCTTTAACACATCATATGCAGCCATAAACTTCACACAAATATACAACACACAGTTACCAAAACCTACCTAACACATACATACCAACACCACAAGCAACACATATAGCCTGTTCATAGACAAAACACGACAAGGAGATTGTTCATGCACACCTTTCATCACACAATCTTCAAACGCACACTTTGTAATTCGCATGTGCACAATCTTATAGTCATATTGCAGCCCACACACACAGTTAGCTAGCATGAAAAAGACAAACGGAACATGTAAATAATGGGTAAATTACAGTAGATTTGCAAGATAAAGAGACTGACTGTATATTTGGGATATATGGGTGGACGGGGAACACACTACCTACATGCTGTTCCCTGTCTCTCTACCTTGCAATTGGATCAATTTTCTAAGCAGGACTATCTTCCACCATGGTGGTGACATGCTTGTTCAGTGGTAGCTTATTCTTGCTAGAAGAGTGTTGTATTGCAACTATAGTCCATGCATAGGTATTAGCTGTGATGGAGTGCAGGAGTAGTGTTAGCACAATTATGAGAGGTATGGGTGATTACTGCTGATTCTGAGACCGAACATTAACTGACTGAAATTTAAGTGCCCGAGCTTCCAGTTTTGGGCAGGCCCTGTCATCCCTGGCTGGCATTATGTCTAAATTGCCCCTTACCCATATTTACTATCACAACTGTCCACCGGGGCCTGAGTATTATATTTATTTTAGTTAAAGGGTTACTCCAACCACCATGACCACTTCTGCTTGAAACACTGCATATTCTAATATATTGGCACTTGAGTGCTGGTGGCTACTCAGATTTCAGTTTCGGGCTATTAAATGTCAATTCTATGCATAAAATACATCCGCAGTCAGTGTGCACTGCAATGGCAATGGGCGTATTGGGCTCTGCCTGCAAAGGGAAGCCTGGATGTCTCCTCCCTTTCTCCCACCCTTCTTTCGTGGAGCCATTCCCACCTCCCAGTAATTGCATTATTTTTTTAAACAATCTCTCCTCCCACTCCCTCTCTGATTCAGAGTGCGCACATGCGTTCTGAGCTGGTTAAACGGTAAAATTACAGGCTTCTCAGATGCTGTGATGTCATAAGGGGGCATGGGAAGGGGTGACCTAAAGAATAATGTTCAATAGTGCATTATTCATTAAGATTAAAAAGGCAATTTAAAGGGTTGGAGTAACCCTTTAACTGGATCACTTTAAATTAATGAGCCAGGAAGCAGGTGCGTGCTCTTCTCAGGAGCTTTTGTTACTATATTTGTTCCCTCCTGTAGAACTCTGGCTAAACCTCCGGTATAACAACAAGGTGCACTGCACTGCAGATTTGGACTCTGGCTTATGAACTTTCCTCAACCTCAGTTACTTGGCAATGTGGCTTTCCTGGCTGCCCCAGACTACGACACAGAATTCTAGTACAGACCGAAACTCGGTATTTAGCTGGAATTAATTTAATGTGAGGAACATCAAAAGCTAAACATTTTTGCTTGCAAGTGTGTTGCTCAAAAGCCACCCAGAGCTTGATCCCAAAAATAATTTGACACCGACACATACACACAAGCAAAGACAAGCACATACAGGCACAGACAAGCACACACAGTCCCAGATATGCACAGACAGGTACACATAGACAGGCACACACAGGCTCATGCCGGCACAGGCAAGTACAAACAGGAAAAGACAGACACAGCCAGGCAAACACATATATTCATATACACAACAAAAAACAGGCAGATAAAGTTTCAGCTTGCTCTTTATCTGCCAGGCTGTATTGTTCTCCCTGCTCGCTCCTAGTCTCCTCAGTGAGGCTAAGCTGGGACTGTAAGCCAAGCTGTACTAGAGACACACATGGAATATGACACTCTTTGTGTCTCTATAACTGTGCTGCTTCAGATGACTCCTAGACCAAGCTGGGACAGAGCGCAGAGGAGGAGACAAAAATATTTAAAACTATAGGGTTCACATTTGGTCCAGAACCTCTCCTCTCCCAGCAAAACCCCTGGATGCATCAGCTTTGTGCTGACAATGAAAACTTTCTATGATTGGATTGACTGTATTAGTGGAAAACAAGATTTGTTGAGTGGCTGAGGTGCTGATCCATGCCTCTATCTTCTCTCGCCTTGACTGCTGCAATCCACTCTCGTCTTACCCAACTTTGGCGGTGTTCCCAATATTCCCTTGTTACAGTCTATAACGAATGCAGCAGTGAGGCTTATCTTCCTGTCCAACCTAACCTCCCACACCTCCCCCACTGTCAGACCTTACATTGGCTTTCATAAGATTTAGGACTGAATTTAAAATTCTGTTACTTGTTTACAAATCTCTACATGTCGCTGCTCCAACCTACCTATCTTCCCTAATACACAAGTATGTCCCTTCCAGGCCCCTACACTCTGCCGAATACTTGTGTCTATCCTCTCTCATACTGTCACCTCTAATGCTTACTTTCAAGACTTCTCTAGGGCTGCACTGTTCCTACAGAACTCCCTTCCCTGCTCCGTTAGACTATCACCCAGTCTTCATTCGTTAAAAAAAAAAATCATTAAAAACTCTCTTCTTCAGGAAAGCATATCAATTAAATAGCTTTCCCTCTTTGCATCTTGCTTCCTTTCCTGCAACTATGTCATCGAAAAAAACAACCATAAAAATACACTAAGCCCTCACTGAAAACTATTCTAGCAACCTAGTGTTCCACCCTACCCTTTACCTTTTGTATCACTGTACCCCACTCCGTCTAGAATGTAAGTTCATTGAGCAGGGCCCTCAACCCCTCTGTTCCTGTGCGTCTAACTCATCTGGTTACAAATATTTATCTGTTAGTCCACCGATTGCACAGTGCTACAGAATTTGTTGGTGCTTTGTTAATAATAATAATAATACAGTGACAATGGCTGCCTTCAGTCAGCCCAGCCATATATGTCTGATCTGTAGATCTGTAACACTGTTACCCACATGACAATGTTAACAGCTTTTTCTAACAGGGAGTGTATTAAGATATTGGTCAGATTTTCCAGGTTTAATCAAAGCCACCAAAACATTTATTGAATATTCATCAGTCTATTTTATTGAAAAACATGGACATGTACGTTATACTGAATGTATCCGAAGAGTATTCCTAGTGATTTGACAGAGAGTAACAACTAGAGAAATTAAATAGTCTCATTTCAGACTGCGGAAGTTTATAAACCCTTGATAATATCACAGCCTGGCCAACCAAAGATACTGAAGTACACTGGGAACCATTCTCCGAGTCTGGAGAACATTGTGATTGTAGGCCATCAGACCATGCCAAACCTAAACAGTATTGTACCAGAAAATGACCGGCACAATTCTCGCTTGCTGTCTCACTCATGCTGCATTGTGCATGTTGAATTGTTGACTTGATTTGTGTTCATTTAAAAAAGTATATTGTGTAACTTATATTTCTTTCATGTTCTCTGGTAAAAACTAATTCAGTTGAAAAAAAGAAAGTGGTGGACCCTTCTTAACTTGCTGTGGAAGATAGTTTGTTGTGATTAAACAGTTATCATTTTTTACCCAGGTTTTCATGTATTGAACCAAACATGTGGTTTATGTGTCGTGTGCATGTTCTAATCCAGTAAATGAAATGTGACACTGTCATTGAACCTATGTAACGAGTGCAAAACAATCACAAGTTTGCTGATATAATTTAACCGATTGCACAATAAGGACATGGAAAATACATTAACATTTATTAAGGAAGAAACTAGCCCTCTCTTCCAACCTGGCTTCATCTGACACTGAGCTGATTGGATGAGGACATAGATTGTAATGTAAAGGGAGGGGAAGACAACACCCACAGATCTGGTGTCACACACTATAAATACTGTCCTCTTTTGTGCTGTGATCAATCCTTCTCTGACTCTGAGTAGAGTTCTTGCTTCAACAGTGTTTGAACGGAACCCTCTCTGAGTCTTCAGCTCTTTTTAAAAAAATCCTCTTCTATCATTACTTATTTTTTCGAATCTTTTTGCGCCACCAATACACCAAAACACCGAAATGGCATCCCAGGTGCGTCAGAACTTCAGCAGCGACTGCGAAGCTGCCATTAACCGCATGGTCAACTTGGAGCTGTATGCATCCTATGTGTACCTCTCCATGGTGAGTATACAGCAGCTCAGTTCATCTTACAGGGTGCTTTGTTCTTACAAACATAATACTTGTTGACTTAATTTTGTGCATGTCAGATGGTACACATCAGGCAACTACAGGGTTAAATGATGCTCAGTTTACCTACTTCAGCATTGGCAAATTTTAAAACTTGATTGAACAATGTATTATGGGTAGTATTAAAAATCATCAAAGTTTAAACAAGTAATCTCAAGAATCATGGTAGCGATACTGTTAAGCTGAAAAATGATTAAAAATCTTCACAATAGTACACAGCATTATAGGGTGGAGAAGTGCAGTATTCTGTTCCCTAGAGTGAGGTTGTGCAATAGTTTTACAGTGTATCGGGTGACTTAATTTGGATACTGGCAACGGAGTGGACAACAACTTCAATCACTCACAGCCAGACATTGCTTCTTGAGTGCAGGAGTATCTCCTAACATGAATATTACCCTTGTCAGAATATTAAACGTGTCTAATATAGATAGTTCCAATTTCTATTCCATTATCGTGAATTCCCACAATTGTCCTTATCTTATCACTAAACACCTTACATTGTGCTTGTTTATGGCCCTGGTTAAGAACAGCTTGATGTTGATACATACTGCAAAAATAATCGAGTTTTATTGACCCCAACATCTTGATCCCAAGAGGGATCTGATGGCCATTTTGGGATCGAGTAGGACATTTTTCCTAGTTGTTGCAAATAAAGAAGCCCTTCAAACAGGTTTTTTTTTTGCCTTCTCTTGCATCAACAGCAAAAACAGATGTGAGTCGGTCTGAACTTGATGGACCCTCACCCTAGTCTCTTTTCAGCCTATGTAACTATGCATAAATTTCAGCTAATTGAAAACGGGATTGCAAAGTTCAGACAAAACAGAACCAAATTGAAGTTATAGGCCAGTTCGAGGATAATTCCAAATCAGCTATTTTGCCTAAATTTTGCAATAAGGTTGATCATTTTTTATAACTTAGCATTTAGTGCATTATGCCGTGATACTTGTGTTCTTTTATAAGAACATTTGATGCCAAATGATATAGATTGAAGCAAATGTTTTGTTACCGTATCCATATATCCGCCTTTATAAAGTGTGCATTTAATTAAATCCTGCCTACAGCTTAGTAAACATTTCAGTTGCCAGGTAAGCCAACAGGCAAAACATTCTATAAAAATAAGGAGGAAGAATTGTTATGGGCAAATGCAAATATTACAAGTTTTAGAATGAAATGTTGTATTTCTTAAACTGTGTACTTTGTCTTTAAGAGATATTGCAAACTGACAAGGTGTTAGAAATGGAACATATTGTTTTTCATAGATGTTTCTTTAAGCAATAACCTCTTACCTATCTTCAGTGCATAATATGTTTGCGCCATCTTGTCCTAGACGAATTACAATAACAATAATGCGTAAACAGGCTTCAAGGCTATGCTACAACTCTTTCAGTACACAATATACTGTGGTAACCTTAAGTAGATAAGGATGTTCAGACTTTAAGATGCCATCTTGACCTAAGTCAGGAAAATTTCCATTACGTATACACCCTTTAGTTATGGACTTGTATTTTTGCCAAGTTAAGTGAGGTCCTAAAATGAACAAAGTAAAAAAGTTACTTTTTCATATATGAACTACGGTGACCCTAAAATGACGACACCTAAGGTATAAATAGGTGTACTTTTAAATGTTAAGAAACAGAGGAGAGACTTGGAGACAGACGCTGCTCCATCTTAAAATGACAGAGAGGCTGACATGATGACATGTTCAGAAGGGTATGTTAACCTATTAATGATATTTGCAAGCATTTAGTTTAATCTTATAAACTCTGCTATAATGGATTTTATATGTCTATATTTATATTTTATTTGATAAATATCTAAAAAGATAAAATTTTATTGCTTCCAAGACAATCCTTATTTTATATTGTATTCTCAATTATTTATATATGTTAAATAGAGGATCTCTTACTGACTATATAAAATTATGGCTAAGATATCTGTATGGTTAGCCCTACTAGGTTCTATGCTTTAAGACATTATAGTGGTAAATAAGGGAACCAGCCGTGGTTACAGAATGACTCCTCTGTCTGTGTGTAAACAAGGAGGGGTGTATTTCTGTATATGAGTTTCTGCACACATACTGTTTGTTAGGCATGTGCGTTTTTATAGCATGAGTATTCAGTAATCTTATGTTGAGGTCCTGGGGGTTTATTTACTAATCATTGAACTCTAGTCAAGCTACTACTGCCTCTCTGAATGAAGACCAAAATAACAATCTGCTAATTTAGTCTGTAGTTTAAAAGTTGGATATCAAGTGACCATAACTTACTGTTTCATTAACGCTTGTAGTCTTCTATCCTCTATCAGAATTAGATTGCTTCCTCTTACTTGTTCTGTTTTATATACGGGTATTATGTTTAACATCCTGTTTCCATCCTATTATCTTCCAGTCCTATTACTTTGACCGTGATGACGTTGCCCTTGAACATGTGGCCAAGTTCTTCAAGGAGCAAAGCCACGAGGAACGGGAGCACGCTGAGAAATTTCTGAAATATCAGAACAAGCGCGGTGGTCGTATCGTTCTTCAGGATGTGAAGGTGCGCATAGGGTGCAAGCTCGCTTACATCTGAATTTCTATCCTGCAGTGTGGGACACTTTTTTTTAGACTAGTATGGGGTCCTCTGACGTTTGCTTTGCTTGGGTATGAAGGACGCATACATCTTACTTTGTGAAATTATACATATATATATAAAAAGAGAGAGTGCTATGCCGCCAACGAGGTCACTGCAAGTAATTATACTCTTTGATAAGAAATTGTTAAATACTAATATAAAAAAACTGTTTATGTGTACTACAACTTAGCGCTCCACTATTGTATATGAGTCTATCACTTATATCACTTGTATAGTATTGTTGGTGTGTGGGAAGGAGGGTATACCCTCATGTGTGTTTTAGATATGCTATTACATTTTTGTCACTACCTCGAGCTCTTATTATTAATATGGAGGTAAAAGATATCAGTTTATTTGTAATTTCCTGCTAGAATTTAAGAATCTCCTTTTCCCACCAGAAACCAGAGCGTGATGAATGGGGCAACACCCTGGAAGCCATGCAGGCTGCGCTGGATCTGGAGAAGACTGTGAACCAGGCTCTCCTGGACCTGCACAAGCTGGCATCTGACAAGACTGACCCTCATGTGAGTTTTAAACATTTTCCTTATAGACTTTAGCTGTTTTTCACAGAAGAGATCGGTGTACTGTAAAATATACACATAATATTTACATTATACCTCTATTTGGCAGTACACTGTTTGTAGATATTTACATCATTTTGGTTCTTCTGAATATTTTTTCCTGAAACAACTGCATGGACAAAATTTATCCAAACTGAAACGTCCCATGGAAGAAACCAGATTTGCCCCCCCAAATTTTATTTTGGATGAATTGACAAACCTTTTTTTTTTTGATACACAAGACTAGCTATCAGTGCCTTCTTATACGCTTAAAGGTGGCCAGAGAAGACATTACTATCTACATAGTCATCAGTCCCAACTGTCCAGGCCTTGGCTGTGTTATCTTGAATTTGATGACCTGCACCACCCATCCAGAGTTTGGTCCTTAGTGTTCCTGCTTCCACAATCACCTTAGTGCAAGCGCATCAATCAAGAGTTTGCACCAAATAACCTCAGCGCTGGCAGCCCATGCCAGAGAGCTTCAGGTGTGCTCTTGTGCATGGGCAGCCCAGAGTGGGGTCACCCGTATGTACTGTTAGCCTGGCGCACACACATTCTAGACTGGCATGTCCACATTTGGTTGGGCCTGCTCTATACCCCTCCATCCCAGATACAAATCAGCAAATGTTCTGAGTTGTGATATAGTTTCTTTTGGTATTCATATGAACCGTTTTATTTTCATAAAAAAGAAAATTGCCAGGCATGGTCATACGATGGGAGGAAAATGAAACAACGACACGACACTGATTAATACATCTGAATGATTGCTGTCATTGCTATCTACTCATATTATGATCCGCACATATCCTCTCCAGAGTTGGCAAACGCCTATCGTAAAATAAGAATAGGGTTGGCATTAATGGAGCGGAACGGTACGCGATTATTCCTATCTGGTAGGGCAATTATTTAGCTAGTACTCAAGCCCAGCTGGGATCTCATGCCTAGGATGGATAAGGAGCTCATAGATCACATGATACCCACATTACTGACAGATGTCAACAGTGTGGCAAGGCTGGAGTTTATTCAGTGTGACCAACAGAAATGTACTTTAATTGACTTTTATATTAGCCTTGAAAGGGATTGAAAAAGACTTATCTTTTTGTTGTGTGAATATATTGTTTATAGTTATATAAAAAAAAAAAAATCCTCAGTAGACGGCAAGTGCCGATAGCTCAAATATGAATGGGCTTATAATGTGATTGTAAAGCTGTATGTTGTATGATATTATTATTACACTGGCTTTTGCATAAGCCCAAAGTCGTTAATAACTTGATACGTCTATTGAGCAAAAATAAAGAATTAAAAAAAATAAAAAATAAAAAAATTGCATTAAGTCCAACCTATTCTTTTTCACTTATGTTTTATTTTATGTTCCTCCTTATCTATACAGCTCCAAGACTTCCTGGAGTCAGAATACCTGGAAGAACAAGTGAAGGGTATTAAGAAGCTTGGAGACTACATCACCAATCTGAAACGCCTTGGGGTGCCACAAAACGGCATGGGCGAGTACCTGTTTGACAAGCACACCCTGGGAGAGAGCAGCTAAAATCTCCAAAGGAAAACCAAGCCAGCAATTTTTCTATCATAATCACCTTTTTATTATCTGAATGGAATAAATGAAATGATCTACCAATAATCCTTATACAGGGTTCTTGGGTTCCAAATCCTTTGCTGCTGTGCTTGTCAACATGTTTCAATAAAAGTATTTTTCAGCATTCCAAATTTTAGTGGTGTCCATTAATTTGAAGGTCAGGCATATTATGTGCATCCCATCCCGGGTAAAAATAAACTTTTTTGCAGCCGAACACAGTTTTCCTTAGCATTTGGATTAAGGGCAATGTTCGGATCACATGTAAGTGCTCCAGTTCTTTTTGGTTGATATGTTTTCTTCCCTATTCAGATTTGTACCTGGGTATTTTCTACTTAAAGCATGTCATTTGACATACAGATTGTATGTATTTTAAAATATACTCAAGTGTAACATCTGCATATAATAAGGAGGCAAAAAAATACCTGCTGAATATTTAGCAGTTCTGATCGTGCCCCTGAAAAATACTTTTGAATAAGTTTTTTAAATTATTTTATAATTGTTGAATACATTTATCAATTTTTTCAATATTAAAATTATATTTGATATCTATATATATATATATATATATTTTTTTTTTTTAAATTTGACAATTTTAATTTAGACATGTAGATACATTACAATTGCGAATACCTTCTTCGTGATTGAACACATGATAAAATGTTTCGGTTACAATTGGATTAGGTATTTCAGTGCTGCTTACTGATGTTAGGTACATAAATTATGCACATTACATGTCTCAAGCAATTTGAGGGGAGGATAGTATTGAAGGGGGGTATAGATAAGGAGTGGAAACCCTCAAAATGGGACATCCTAAACGCTCCAATGCTGGACAACACTCTTCTGGCAAGACCCCTGCAGGAAAAACTGGGGCTTTGACTAAATTTTTCAGAGACACAGCTGAGCATGCTCCTGACCCGGTAGGCCCCAACCTGGCCCCGGACTTGTCTCCGACTTGCTCTGCTCCGCTGAGGGTCTGAGTTCTCCTCTCATTCGACGGACCCAGATATCAGGGAGATACTCAAAGCACTCCCCTCCAAACAAGACTTGGCCCTCATGCTACACAGATTAGAGGCTTTGTTCCAGACCAAACTAGACATTATAGGGGCAGTCTTCAAGCAGACGAAACACAGAGTGTCCTCCCTAGAAGAAGACAGGGACACGATGCAAGCGCAGATTAGAGCACTCCAAGACACGGTGTCAGTGCAAAACAATTAGCGATCGCTGGACGACCTGGACAACAGGGGACGGCGAAACAACTTGAGGGTGAAGGGCCTTCCAGAATCAGACAGAGAACACCTCCCCACTATACTGCAGGACCTCTTCAACCTTATACTGGGCCGCACCACGGACACACCAATAGCCTTTGACAGGGCCCATAGAGCCTTACGTCCACGGGGTTCACCATCTGAAATGCCCAGAGATGTGATCTGCAGATTGCATTACTATGAATGCAAGAACAGCATTATGGAGGCCCTCCGTCGTTCCCAGCAACCCCTCCTATACCATGAGGCTCCGATCACAATATATCCCGATCTGTCATGGATGACCTTACAGGCCCGCAGAGTACTGAAACCCATAACAGACCAGCTCCAGGCTTGGAATTTGCAGAATCGCTGGGGCTTCCCACTCTCGCTCACAGCCACATATAACGGGGTCTCACATACTATCTCATTGATCCACGACGTCCCGGTGTTCCTAAGGGAAATGGACTTACCTGACCTCCAGCTCCCAGATTGGTACGGCATTGTTCAGCCGCCTAACACAACACGGCTACCGCAAAGGAACCACTGGCAACAAACGCCCAAGAAACGGAGAACAGACCGGTCGGCGACACCACTAGATGGTCCAGCACATACCTCAACCCATTACTAACTGCTCGGAAACTACAACTACGACACCAAGTAACTACTGGACTGCCGCGGACTCTCACCACCCCCCTAACCCTGACTTGATTGCTGATGATACCTCCCATGCTGGTGGTGACTGTGCTGACTACAAAAGTCTACCAGATATGCTGCCTCAGCTCGGATAGAAGCGCCTGAAGAGATCCCTAAGACAACATGACAGCCCTGGGCGAAGAGACCCCACACTAGCTGGTCACGCAAGTAGTGCTATTACTAGGGACATTGAATTTGCCCCAGGGCCTACCCCTGCACACCCCTCCATGACTCCACCCCCCCACCACCATATACACCCCTAGCTAAACTACCCTCTAAGCACGGAAACGTGCAGGTGATCCAAGACCCAATCTGAGGGATGTAGTGACTACGGCCACATAGGCTCCTAAGCCCACTACCCACTAAGTCCCACTCATTGGACATGGTGTTCCAAACTCAATGTGTTTATACCAATGTATGCCTAAACGACTGTCTACTTGTCCCCCCCATACTCACCTTGTCCCCTCCCTCCCCCGCCTTACATACCGCTCTCCTTGCCTAGCATGCCATAGCTCGATATGAGCCTACTCAGCATCTGTTGTATGTGCCTGCCATGTGGGCATCGCCCCCCGAGATGAAATGTAGTTTTGTCCCGGGGGCGCTGCTCCCAATGTTATCAAAATGCGATGTAGGTTGTGTTATGTATGACCTATGAGGAATGTTATGGGAAGGTATACCTTGACCTGACAAGATACTGACCAGTATGTGATACAGGTACCGATCCTGCAGGCACTGTACCCTGAGATAAAATATGCTTATGTTAACCAGTTAGTTCAAACCACACTGTGAAATGTGATGTTTCAACACTTTCAGAGACATGCTCCCGGTTCTTCCACTCTCCTCCCCCCCCCCCTTTTCCACAATCAGTGACACGGGTAATGACTATGAAAAAATACTATACTCTAGACCCCAAGCAACGCTGTAAATTTAACCCTGGATGAGGGGTCCCTAATAGCTCCACACGGAAGGTTCGCAGTGCTGCATGGACCTCTTGTAGGGTGTCCTTCCCACTCCTTTCCCTCACTTCCCCTCCTCTCCCCCCCACCCCCAATTTCCCACTAGGGACACTAGACATTCCTTAACAAACACACACACACAAAAAAACAGCATAGATATAAATATCTCTATATAACTGAGCACATTAAACCCTGCAATGCGGAGCAAACCCCCCCCCCCCAAAAAAAAAAATGACATTCCCAGAAGTCTCACCCCATAGTGCACACTGGACCATATCTGTTTTCAATGAAACATCCACTTTCAGCACTCTACAATAGACCTAACCAAAGCCCACAACACCCTCTCCCGCTTCCTCGCACAAGTCCAAGTGGCCCATAATAGCCCACCCAGAAACCCCTAGGTTGTGGCTGATGGGGCAACTACACTGACCTGCCTGCCCTTTATTAAATGGCCCAGATACTCCGAGTCGCAGCTGCACCTCTAGATGGTAATTGTACTACGCCACCTATGGCAAAGTATATGAAGCTGGAGCCCAGCACCGAATGGACATACATTCCACTTCACTGTTTACACGGCTCACATCCACTCATGCTCATCCACTGATGAAAAGCGGATGCACCACTGACGTACTCCCACTTTTCCATCTCCTACAGCCAAACACCAGCGATCCCCCCCACCCACACCTGACACACAATACTGAGCAACCGTGCTAAAGGATATCACCCGCACTGTGCCACTAGACAATGGGGATCTTACTAGATACCGCTCCCACGCTATCAGGTACAGAATGGAGGCACTGACTGATGTTGCTCCACTAAACTGAACATCCCCAGTTTGGAAATGTCAGACATACGCACAGCTACACGATCTCGGCATCCCCTCCTCCTACAACCCTAACTGGCGAGTCACCCAACGACCTACTGCACGCCCCACCTGGGGGCACACCTCCCACAACCCGACATGATCATGTACCCTAGCGCCCCCCACCTGTCCGTGGCAGGACATAGACGCTACCTACAAAATCCCATGCAAAGGCGACGCCCCACACCATTACATCCGAATTTAGTTTTACTGGATTGGCTCCAGGTGACGAACGCATACAGACTCGCGCACGTTCCACACTTATATGGGGAACCAGATGGTTCCTACCCCTGCTCGTCAACAACACGATGGGTAAGCAGACCAATCGGCTCCAAACATAGGTCTTAGTGACCTATCTACGGTGAGCACTAGGTACCCCAGTGGTCAGAATTAACCACTTCAGGTACGCCACCAAAGGATACCCCCGGCTGTCTACACATCTTGCCGCACTTAACCACACGTGCATGGCAACGGCAGACAGCACTCCTCTTTGTACATAGTTTAGGTTTATAAATATCACCCCCACCTTTTCCCCTCCAGGACAAGTCCCATACACCCCCTTTTCTTTATTCCCCATAAACGACAACTGCTACATCAACCCTGGACAGGCAGACTGAAGCAGGAAAAATGCCACAGTCGCACACCCCAATGGCCAACGTACGCATAGTTACACTCAACATCAGAGGCCTAAACGCCCCTGAAAAGCGTTCCATGGCTCTTAATGAACTACACACACTTAAGGCGGACATAGCCTTCCTGCAAGAAACACACTTCAAAAAAGGGGAAGCTCCCACCCTCAGAAACAGTAGGTTCCCAACCAGCTACTTTAACAACTTCACTGACACTAAGGCGAGAGGGGTAGCGATCCTGCTCTCAGCACATGTGCCCTACGTACTCCTCCCATAAATCAGATGATGCCGAGAGACTGCTCATGGTCAAAGGCAAAAACTCCTAGATAATGCACAACTATACGACTGTTGGCGCACCACACACCCAACGACCAAGGATTTTTCGTTCTACTCATCCACCACACACACATACTCTAGACTGGACATGCTCTTCCTCCCACACAGATTTCTCCACTTAATACAATCCACCAACTATGGTTCGATCACATGGTCAGACCCTTATCTTTAGCTCTGCACATACCCACCATCCCACAAAAGTAATTCCAATGGAAACTCAACGACCTTCTTCTCA